CTCGTGAAAAATGGCATCGGATTCGGTGACTTCAACTCCTAGCGTAACTTCTGCATCTGAGGGCGCGGAGACAAGAGCGTTGGTGTCACCATACTATCTGCATCTGTCTGATAATACGGGTCAGGTATTGACTCCAATTCTCTTGAATGGTTCGAACTACGAAAGGTGGGCAAAGCTTATGCTGAACTCACTTCGTACGAAACGGAAGATTGGGTTCGTTGATGGAACTCTGAAACGGCCGTCTGACAACTCTGACGAAGCAGAGAAGTGGGACATGGTCAACTCTATGATTATCGGCTGGATTTACAGCGGTATTGAGTCGAAGCTTTGTCCTTCGATCTCGTTGGTGGATAGCGCGAAGGCTATGTGGAACAGTCTTCAACGGCGGTTCTCCGTCAGTGATGACACTCGTCTTCATCAGCTCCATGGTGATATTGCAGCGTGTAAGCAGAATGGTGACTCGGTGGAGGTTTATTTTGGACGGATCAAGGTCTTGTGGGATGACTTGGCCGATCTTAACAAAGGCTTTCAGTGCTGTTGCAAGAGCTTCGACTGCTCATCGATGGTGGCATATGAGAAGAATCAAGAGAAAATGCGTGTGCATCAGTTTCTCATGGGACTCGATACTTCACGTTTTGGTACGGCTCGATCTAATCTTCTCAGCCGTCAACTTGATCTGAACTTGGATTCGGTTTATTCGCAAATCATTCAGGAGGAACGACACCTCTCGGTGATGCGAAGCAATGAAGAACGTATTCCAGTCGTTGGTCTCTCAGCAGCAACGGTGAATCCACAAGCCTCGGCAGCTCGTTTCGCTAAATCCACCGTAACGTGCACACACTGCGGCAAGACGGGACATGATTCCACATCGTGTTTCCATATCGTCGGATTTCCAGACTGGTACTCTGATAAGTCCAAACCTGCAGGTGGAAGAGGAAATGGTCGTGGTCGAGGAATTGATCAGGGAAAGGGACGTGGTGGTCGTGGTGCGGGGTTCCGCGCAAACAATGCTACCGCTGGTGATGGTTCTGGAAGCAGTGATACTTCGGGAATTCCAAACTTCACACCAGATCAGTGGGCTTCTCTAGCAAACCTGTTGAATCAAAAGCAGAATGGTTCAGAGAAACTCTCGGGTAAGACAGAAAAACTTCTTTTCTTTGGTCCCAATAGCCGCTATGATGTTATTATTGATTCCGGTGCATCAAATCACATGACTGGGGACATTAATCTGCTTACTGATTTAACATCTATTGATCCTTGTCCTATTACTTTACCTAATGGTGAACTCACTTGGGCAACTCGGTATGGTCGTTTGAACTTTGGGGGTCGCCTTGTTCTGAATCGGGTGTTTTATGCTCCACATTTGTCCATTACTCTGATCTCAGTTGCTCAGTTGTTGAATGATATTGCTCGATTTGTACTCTTTACACGGCAGTTTTGTGTGATACAGGACCTCACTTCGAGGACTTTGATTGGTGCGGGTAAACAACAAGATGGAGTTTATCATTTCAAAGGCGTGGTTGCAGCTCATTCTGGTCGTGCAGGACCCCTGAACACAAGAGAGCTGTGGCATAGGCGTCTGGGTCATCCGTCTTCCGCTGTTCTTTCCGTTTTACCTCATGTTGGTTCTTTTTCCAGTAGTTCAGCGAGTTCTGATAAAGTTTGTGACATTTGTGTACGAGCAAAGCAGACTCGAAATAAGTTTTCAGATTCAATTAATAAAGCTGATGATTCTTTTCAAATGATTCACTGTGACCTCTGGGGTCCTTACCGCGAGCCTTCTTTGAGTGGAGCTCGATATTTTCTGACCATTGTCGATGATTTTACAAGAGCAGTATGGACAATCTTGTTACTTGAAAAGAAAGAAGCACCCAATGCTCTCAAAACGTTTCTTACCTTTGTTGAACGGCAATTCAACAAACAAGTTCGTATCATACGAAGCGACAATGGTTCAGAGTTCGTATGTCTCAAACAGTTCTTCGCAGATACGGGTATCACTCATCAGACATCCTGTGTTGAGACGCCGCAGCAGAATGGTCGTGTTGAACGCAAGCATCGTCACATATTAAATGTCGCCCGTGCTTTGCTGTTTCAAGCGAATTTACCAACTCGTTTTTGGGGAGAAAGTGTTCTCACCGCAACCTATCTGATTAATAGGACTCCCTCCAAGCTCCTGGATAACAAATCTCCATACGAATTGTTGTTTAATCGGGCTCCCTCCTATGATCATCTACGCACATTCGGTACTTTGTGTTTTGCAAGACGGATTTCGCGCAACAGAGATAAATTTTCTGAAAGGAGTGTTCGATGTCTTTTTGTTGGGTATCCTATGGGAAAGAAAGGCTGGCTTATGTTTGATTTGGAAACAGAACAGACATTTGCATCTCGAGATGTTGTCTTTCATGAATCTGTTTTTCCTTTCGCAGTATCTGTGGAGAGAAATGATGATGATTTTGTTTCGCCTGCAGCATCTCATCCTGCAGTTTTCGACGATATTGATCTTCCTGGGGTCTCATCGACAGGGGGAGCTCTGGTTCCTCCACCTTTATCACCTGAGGTTACCGATACTGTACCACCTCCTGCAGAAACGGTAACTCCTCCTTCTGATCCTATTCCGGTTGTCGTTGAATCAGAACAACTTGGTCGTGGTTTACGCACGCGTACGCAATCGGTACTACTGAAGCCGTATCACGTTTACAACGCCACTGTTGCTAGCATCACCTCAGCCAAGGATTCCAAGTTGTCGGAATCATGCACATATCCTTTATCTGCCTCGTTTTCCAGTCATCGTCTTTCGTCTGCTCAGAAGGTGTTCTCGGCAGCGATTACGACATTTACAGAACCGCGATCTTACAAAGAGGCATTTCAACATAAAGAATGGCGTGATGCTGTCAAGGGCGAATACGGTGCTCTTGAAGATACTAATACGTGGACAGTAATGACACTTCCTCCAGGGAAACACGCCATTGGATGTCAATGGGTGTTTAAGATTAAATTCAACTCGGATGGATCTATTGAACGCTATAAAGCTCGTTTAGTGGCTTTGGGAAATCGGCAACAGGAAGGTATTGACTATAAAGAAACATTTGCTCCAGTCGTCAAGATGACGACGGTTCGTATCTTGCTTGGCGTTTCTGCAGCTAAAGGTTGGGAACTATACCAAATGGACGTGCACAATGCCTTTCTTCACGGTGACTTAGACGAAGAAGTGTATATGCAGCTGCCCCCTGGTTTTCGTTCTGATAAACCGAATCAGGTATGCAAACTCAACAAATCGTTGTATGGCCTGCGGCAAGCTCCGCGTTGTTGGTTCTCAAAGCTATTTACTGCGCTTACTGGGTTTGGGTTCAAACAAAGCAAGGCTGACTATTCGTTATTTACTCTCATGAAGTCGGAGTCTGTGATATACGTGTTGGTCTACGTCGACGATCTGATCATTGGGGGAAATGACTCTGTTCTTATTTCTCGGTTTAAAGACTATCTCCATCGCTGTTTTCACATGAAGGATTTGGGGGTTCTTAAATACTTCTTAGGCATTGAAGTGTCCAGGGGAAAAGATGGAATTTACTTGTCTCAACGCAAATATGCTTTGGACATTGTTGCTGAATGTGGTCTCTTAGGTGCAAAACCTGCAGAAACACCTATCGAGCAGAATCACAATCTCGCTCGTGCTGATGGTTTGTTCTTCGCTAATCCCACTAAATATCGACGGTTGGTGGGACGTTTGGTTTATTTGGCAGTAACTCGGCCTGAGCTGAGCTATGCGGTGCACATCCTTGCACAATTTCTAGAGCATCCTCGTCAAAAACATTGGCAAGCGGCTCTGCGACTTGTTCGATATTTAAAAGGTTCGCCAGGTCAAGGGATCTTGCTGCAGTCTGACAACGATCTTACTCTATCTGCTTATTGCGACTCTGATTATGCGGCATGCCCTCTGACCAGACGCTCACTTTCTGGATACACGGTCATGTTGGGTAACTCGCTTGTTTCTTGGAAGACTAAAAAGCAGAAGACAGTCTCTCGTTCGACGTGTGAAGCTGAGTATCGGTCCATGGCTCTCACGTTCTGTGAACTCATTTGGACTAAAGCGATTCTTGCGAGTCTGGATGTCGTTCATTCATCTCCGATGTCTTTGTTTTGCGACAACAAGTCTGCATTACACATTGCTGCAAATCCGGTCTTTCACGAACGTACGAAACACATTGAAGTTGACTGTCACTTTGTTCGCGATGGAGTACAGGATGGCACTATTGTTACACGGCACATCAAGACTGAGGATCAAATGGCGGATCTGTTAACCAAACCGCTAGGTTCGAAGCAATTTCGATTTTTACTTTGCAAGATGGGCGTTCGCGATCTTCACGCGCCATCTTGAGGGGGAGTATTAGCAATATTCTCATTAGATTCTCCATATATTTAGTCGTATATATTCCCAGATTATAAGGGATTGCATAGTTGTGTATATTCTCTGAAATGTAGGGATCTTACTTGATCGACAAGATCACTAGCGCTGTATATAAGAGATTCATCTCCAAATGAATAACATCATCGATTCCTCACTTTGGCAAAATTTGAGAGTTTAAGAGTTGGGTTGGAGATGCTCTAAAAACACTATCATCAGTAACATGTTCTATTGTAAAAAGGATTTATTTTTGGTTAAAATGTAAAGAGTATTAATTTTTAACTCTAAAATGGATTTTTGAACTCTGGAGTACGTGATTCGATCAGCTATTTATCTAACATGTTTGAGTGATTCAGGTTCGAATGCATGAAAACCAAATGCTTTAGAGATGATGGCTCCTGAAGTTTTCATCAATTTTTGCTGAAGTAATCAAATTAAATTTTTGTACTCACTTCTTTTGTTTTTCCACTTTCTAAAATTTTCATAATTCCGAAATGTATTTGACAATAATAAAATTGATTTCAGTCATGGGTAGTGATGTGTACCAATTAACATTGGACAACAACAACAACAACAACAAAAAAGCGCGTATGGCAGAGCCAATCTGGTTCATTCTCAAATTGCGATCTCCACATAGAAGAAGATTCTCCAAGACGACGTTTTTCCGATTCCTCTGAAAATAAAGTTTCCGCCTTTATCGGAGATTACTTTACCTAAAATTAGGCAAGACAACGGAGGAATCGGATAACAAGGAGAAAATGCCGTCGCAGATTCTCCCAATCTCATATCTTCCCCCTAAATCCTCACCCTCCACGGAAATGATGTTCAAGCCTTTGATTTACGACGATCCCTCCACGAGCCTCCTCGCTTCTTCTCGATCTGATGACGACCACACCGTCAAGCCTCTCCTCTCCCGCGCCGCCAGCTACAACAGCGGCGCCGTCACTACGAAGCCTCCTAACGGTGGATTCACTGGTTGGTATCAGAACAGACGGCGACGATCCAACAGCGATAACTGTCTCTGTGCGTTTCCCGATGATACTAATGGAAGCGACGGTGGTAATTCCGGCCGCCAAACTATCGGTCAGGAGGTTAGCCACGCCGCCGCCGAGACCTTCTTGTTGACTCGTCTGGGCTTGAAGCTCCTGAGCTATCTTGGGTATATATTTAAGATCCGTATCTGTGTGAGACAATGAGATTGGCTTATCTAGCTTCTTAGGCATGGATCTTGCATATATTAAAAAGATGATCTTTGGTTTGTTGGTTTGAAAGATCATTGATATATGATTTAGATCACTGATCAAAAGCTATTATTCAGGGTAGGCTATAGATGGATCACAAGATTTCTGGCACTTGGATTTTATGCCTTTCTACTAATGCCAGGCTTTATTCAAGGTTTGTAGACCTTTTTTACTGGCACTTGACTGTTATGTGTTTCTTCTACATCTCTATCTAAGATGGTAACTATAAGTTTCATTGCTAAAGGTTCGGAGTTTACTTTGCAGTCGGGTATTACTATTTCTTCTCTCCTCACGTCCGCAGAAGTATAGTTTACGGTGATCAACCAAGAAACAGGTCATAATCTTTTGCTGGTTATTCCTTCTATTCATGCTTAGTTCCCTCCAAAGAGTAGTAGATGCTTGATGTTTTGGTTTGTTGATTTAAGTGGCTTTCGGTTTGTTCTTCAGGCTTGACTTGTATCTACCTAAGAACTCCAATGGTCCAAAACCAGTTGTGGCGTTTGTGACTGGTGGAGCCTGGATTATTGGGTGAGTATGACACCCAATGGACATTATTTTCATTCTAATGAAGAGGAGAAAGAACTGAAAATGTCTTACAGCATGTCTTTTGTTGATACAGTTATAAGGCGTGGGGTTCTCTTTTAGGACAGCAGTTATCAGAAAGAGATATTATTGTCGCGTGCATAGATTACAGGTAATTTTTATGTGTGCGTAAGGTTTTTTTTTCTCTGGCACAGTGAAGGTGTTGGTGTCCTCTCATGTTCCATCACTTTCCATGTCCAGTTTATATTTGTTTATGTTTTCAGTTACAGTTTCCCGATCTCATTAGCAATATCTCCTCTCACACAGGAATTTTCCTCAGGGATCTATCAGTGACATGGTCAAAGATGCTTCTAGTGGCATCTCATATATTTGCAATCATATCGCTGAGTATGGTGGTGATCCAAACCGGTATTAATCCTGTCAACGATTCTTTAACATGGAAGCTCTCAGGTTTTAAATATCTGGCTCACTGATTACGGATCTTTTTGCCATGTAGAATTTATCTGATGGGTCAGTCTGCTGGTGCACATATCGCGGCTTGCACCCTTGTAGAGCAGGTTGTCAAAGAGTCAGGGGAGGGGGACAGTGTTTCTTGGAGTAGTTCACAGATAAATGCTTATTTTGGTCTGTCTGGAGGGTAAGCCTCTCTTCTGGTCCCAGAACGACATACATTGGGATTAAGATATGTGTCGACAAGTTGTTAAAAACAAGTTTCTTTTTGTAAAATGGTGGTAGACAGTTCTTGAATCGCATAGCGTAAAGGTCAAAATAGTAGCTTACAGAAGCAGTTATATTCCTGCTTCTAAGTTTCTATCCAACTAAAGCCAAATAAATCTAATTAAAATACTCTGCGATCATGATCTGCAGGTACAACCTTTTGAGCCTTGTAGACCACTTCCATAGCAGGGGACTGTATCGTTCCATCTTTCTGAGGTATAATGAATATCAATTCTTGGTATAGCTTACGCTGCTCACATGACCAGCAGAGCAGCCCGAAATTTTAGAGTTTAAAGAGTGAGTTTTGTTTTCCCTCAGCATCATGGAAGGAGAGGAATCATTAAGGCAGTTTTCTCCTGAACTAGTAGTGCAAGACCCGAATCTCAAACACATCGTTTCTCGTCTCCCACCTATCATTTTATTCCATGGTACTGCTGATTACTCCATCCCTTCAGATGCAAGGTATGGTTAAACGTTCGTAGCCTTTTGTGTGTACTTGTCTGTCACCTGCCGAGAGTTGATATGATGATTGATTCTGGTACGTTATTTTTGCAGTAAATCTTTTGCCGAAACCCTCCAGGGGCTTGGAGCCAAAGCAAAAGTGATACTCTATGAAGGGAAAACACACACGGATTTGTTTCTTCAGGTACAATGGCCGGTCTTCTTGGGATATAAATGTCTGGTTTGTACAGAACCTGAATTTTGATCTAGAAACTTTGGTTATATATGCTAGGATCCAATGAGAGGTGGAAAAGACGAGATGTTTGAAGATATAGTATCAGTGGTTCTGGGAGACGATCCAGAAGTGCTTGCTAAAAGCGTAGACAGAAGGCGTCTTGTGCCTGAATTCATGTTGAAGTTGGCTCACTGGGTCAGTCCGTTCTAACTCTCACTCTCCCAAGAAAGCAGAGGAAGTATATTCCTTCTTCCGGTGATACGGACGGTTCACTGTGCATATTACTTAACAAGGAAACAGATCCACTATACTTCGACGACACGGATGATTTTGAACTTTGTTGATGATGAGCTTGTATCCCAGTCAGTACACATTGTTTGTTTTGTAATTCTCAGATTGTGCTACTTGTAGAACAACAAAGTGCAGTAAGTAACAAGTCCTTTGATCTACTTAGTTATCTCCTTTCTTCTCTGCTCAGTAAGTAACGGTATAGAAATTGCCTAACATGTAGACTAAAATAACGGGTTTAAACTAGTTTGTGATTTTAATGCTATTCGATGCTCAAGACCCAACGGTTCAAAGTACAGAATAGCCATGGAGGCAAGGAAGCAACTTGAAGAAAGGACGAAAAAGAGTCATATGAAGTGATTTTCTGCGAACACCCACACACACAGTAGTTCAAAGTATGTTTTGATTATATCTCAACCAGTGTTCCTCATTCCAGCCGCAATACCATTAATAGTGATGAGCAATGCATCCCTGAGTTTGTTGTTGTCGTCATCACGTCTTAGCCTCTTGAGGATCTCAACCTGCAGCATGTTCATGGGATTCAGATACGGAAGTCTACTCTCTATCAGCTTCTTCAGGCTCCGATTATTCTCCGAGAGCTTTTCATGGCCACTTATCACAAGCACATACTTCTCAGTAGTCAGCAGTTCCTTTCTGAGCTCACTACCAATTCCTCTTCTGTTCTCTGAGACGAGCTGTTCATCATAGTGTTTGGCTATTGGGATATCTGCTTTAGCTAACACCATCTCTATAAGGTCTATGGTCGACTGAAAGAAGGGCCATTCTTTGTACATTGCTTGGAGATCATCGGCGTGACCCTTCTCACATACTCCTTTCAGACCAGCTCCTACACCTAGCCAAGCTGGAAGGACAAACCTTGTCTGGGTCCAGGCAAATACCCAAGGGATAGCTCGGAGATGTCCAATCCCAGATGAGCTCTTTCTTCTTGTTGGCCGGCTTCCTATGTTGAGGAAACCAAGCTCGGCCTGAGGCGTAGCCTCTTGGAAGTAGGAGAGAAATTCTGGGTTTTCATAGACCGTGTTTCTGTACTTTTGGCAGCTAATGTTGGAAATATCTTCCATTAGACTCCGCCATTTTTCTTCTCGAGGTGGCTGAGGAGGTTCCAAAGTAGCAAGAAGTACTGCGGTTGTGTAAATCTCTAGCTGCCTAACAGCCGTCTGTGGTATCCCAAACTTGGCTTGCACCATCTCGCCTTGCTCTGTGGAACGGAGAGTACCCTGAAAAGTCAATGGAAGAGTAATTGTGGGTGAGACCTCTGGCTCAAAAGTGAAAAAAATCGTCCATTTGGAAACCATTTTGTGGCGGCTATAGAGTATCTCACCATCACAGAACCTGGAGGTTGGGATTGTATAGCAAGATAAGTTGGACCACCACCTCGGCCGATACTTCCGCCCCGTCCATGGAACAAGGTAACTTTGATGCCAAATTCATTGCAAGCTGCCACAACATCCTCCTGGGCTTTGTAAAGCTCCCATGCTGCAGTAAAGCGTCCAGCATCTTTTCCAGAATCAGAATATCCAACCATCACCTGCATATGTATAACGTTGCAAGTCTTTTAAGACACAACTGGCGCATCCTCCAAAGATGGATTTGGTTAAAAGTAAGTATGCCTACCTCTTGGTGTCCAGTGTGATTCTTTTTGATGTGTTCTCGGTACCATTCAATGGACAGTAGTTTCCTTATCACGGAGCCAGCGCCTCTTAAATCCTTCACCGTTTCAAAAAGAGGTACCACTCGCAGTCTATTACGTATCAAAAACAAATCAGCATACCAAGAACTTATGTCATCAAAAACATGAAAGAAACAGAGATAACCCTTTATGAAAGAATGCAGACAGGCAAAATGATAAATTACACTCACGTTCCAGCAGGACATGGTCTTCCCAGCTCGCCACTGACGGCAAGACGAGCATCTTTTTGTAGAAGCTCCACAGCGAGGACATCACTTGCCTACAAGTAGCAACAAATTAATGTCATCATTTTAGTAACTTGTCCACGTTAGCTTCAGCAGAAAAAAAAGTGACTGTAAAAAGACTCAAATCTATCATACGTTTGAAGCCATGGAAATCACGTAAGCTCCAAGTGATTCACTTCCTAGCTCAGCAGCAACTCGGAAAGTGTCTAGTACTTCTTTCACTTCAGGACCAACCTGCAAAGGTTCAATAATTTTCATAATCGTGTTGGATACACATACAGGAGATTAGATATGATGAGAGATCACTTTTCTATCATCATACTGGCGTTCCTTTACGTAAACGAAGCAGACAAGTTTTTGATTACTTCATTTGGTCTAACTGTAAGATAAGTTGCAGTAACTAGTTAGAGTTCATAATTTTCTGAGGCACGCCTAACATAAAAAGAAACCCACGGTGAGTGCTCGCTGACCTCAATATTTGGAGGGACAAGGGGACGTTTCCCTTTCAATTCTCTTGTCAAGAACTCGAGTTTCTTGTCTTCATCCCATTCATTATATTTTCCCATGTCCAAGTATGTTGTAATTGCATCCAAAGCTTCAGAATGCCTTGCAGCTTCCTGATTAATGAATTCTAGATCAGTCGCAAATCTCAGACACAGAACCAGAACAAGAAGGAAAAAAACTCACCTGTCGCAAATCAAGTTTCATCAAAACCATGCCAAAGGTAGCAACTCTGCGGATAAGATCAGCAAGTCGGCCATCAGCTAGAACTCCGGCATCAGATGATTGCTGAGAAAATAAGGATTTTCACATATAAAGGTAATGATTTATAATGGGAAGTCAATTTCGCATGTAGCAAGATCCTACCAGAGATTCATAGCAGAGAAGTAGTGGTTCCAGAAGTTGGTCTGATGTTTCATAGTAATCCCAAGGATCATATTCACAAGGAAGACCCTCAAGAAGAAGTTCCAGAAGTCTCCGTGTCTTCAGAAGCTGTAATCACAGATCATTACGTGGGAGTCATTTTACGCAAGAAAATACAATTTATCATGATGGTTGAATTATATCTAACATTGAGAAGATTTGCAAATGAGTTAACGACTAGCTGAAGATAAATGCCGTTGGGAATACAAACATGAACTCCCTCACATCTTTTGCAATGCTAATTCAGCACAAGGGAAAAAATTAGAAAGATCAACACCTTTTCCTTTACTTCGCCAAGAACAATCCGATAAGGAGCAATTCCAGCTCGTTTGGGTGGAGTCGGTTCTAATAGCTTCTGAAAACTGGTCCTCCCAATCTGAGAATCAGCAAGTAGTTTCTTCTGAAGGAGAAGTTGAGAACTCGAGGATGAAGAACCTCGGGGAGTTAGACTTTGCTGAGAACCATTAGAGTTGACAGAAGTTCCATTTCCTGTCTTTATTTGCAAATCTTGGCCACTGCCATTACTGGAAATGCCTTGAACATCCTATTTTGAGGAAGAAATATAAATAAAATCAAGCAAGTTATCAAGTAAGACATACTCAGCCAGAGTATATTTCAGTAACCATGAAGATCAAAACGATATAGGCATCTGTCAGCATCTCTAGAGCTTCCTCACCTGACGATTGATTGGCAAATAGTCTGTCACAGGAATTTCAAGCTTAGGATACTGTGATTCACCACATTCTGCAAGTGGAATACCAGAGACTTGGTAAGACGAGGCGCGAATGTAGAATAAGTTCTGTATGCATGATTGTATGTTCAAATCTTTTATAAGAGGAAGGTACTCTATGCATGAAATCCTTTACCAGCGCATGAGGGAAGGTCAGCACTAATTGGAAGTTGAGTGGGTAGGGATAAGCCTTGTTGGCTTGGAAATTTTGGTTGGCTTCTACCTACATTTGGACCCCAACTTTCAAGGTGATCTTGAGCGGAAGTTTCTGAGGAGGAAAAAAAACATCTTGAAAATTTGTGCTCTCAAGAATCAAAAAAAGACTGAGACATGAGATGTTCCCCAGAAGCATACCTTTTTCAAGAATTTCATCTGCCAATCTTGACAATCTATCGCTGCATCGATTCATAGACAATTCAAATCTCAAGCTATCAATCTCTCTTATGTACAGATCGATAGCCATCCACCTAGACATAAGCGATACTTCTTTTGTGACCTGGAAATTTATTGATAAACACCATTGTGTGTTAGCAAGTTAATCTAATCTCTCTCTATACTAGCCAAATAGTAACCCTATACCAGCCCCAGGCAAAGCTCACATTCAATCCCATAGATAAGTTATTCATGCGAATAGTAACATATAGAAAGCTCACCTTTGCCGTGACATTTGGATTTCCATCTCTATCACCACCCATCCAGGAACCAAACTTTATTGGGGTGCAAGTTAATGGGAGTGGCTTTCCCGTTAACTGTGAAGAAGACATAGAGAATAACATATTTCCAATTAATGTCAAGTGAAAGTCTCTTTGCCAATCAGAATTTGCAAATAAATGAGAAAAATAAGTAAGACCTTCTTCAAAGAACTGCTGACACGACGCAAGTACTGTGGTACAGCTTTCCAAAGGGATTGCTCAACAATGTTCAAACCTGATACAAGGGAATAATATACACTTGTAGCAAAACGTTGGTTTTTCAGATAAAAGTTCTCAGACTAACAAAATTCAAAATTAGCATACCTGCCCTAGCTTCATCAACAGGAGTAGGTTTCTGACGTCTAAGTTCATCAGTCTGCCACACTGAAGTTATCTCCCTAACCTTTTAAACGAAATGAAATCATTAGATGTACTGCTTCAGCATTCAGCAGACAAATTTTAAGAATATTATTGAGGAAGATAGTACCAGATCCTCAATGACTGTTTCTCGATCTTCAAATTCAAGGTCTGGCCTATCGTTATACTCTAGAAGATGCTGCAAATGTCCAAAAACCATAAACCTAAAAATTGCTTGCAACAGGTATAATTATCAATGTCAGCATTACCAAAAACTTACAGCCATTCTAATATGTTTGTACTGCAAGGTTCTCCGATTAATTTGAGTGGGGTGTGCAGTAAGAACAATTTCAACCCCCTGCATTGGATAAAGTTGAGTAAGAAAACAAGTATCAAACAGAGGTAAAGCAAATTGGCTTTACTTCGCAGTGAACTGATAATCTTGCAATTACAAGTTCCCAATTGATTAGAAATATCAAAATGGGATAAAATAACTGTTAATGATGACGAGTAACAGCGAGTAGAACAATGCAGTATACCTGCTTGCAAACTGTGTCGTAAAGCTCATCCGGGGAAATACCACCTTGCAATAGCTTGCTGAATATGTCGTTGCATGATCTTGAAAGCTGTGGAAGGTTACGGACTCTACGAACTCTGAATGATAAAGCAATCTTTCAGGTTCAAAGAGAGGCCAAGCAAAACATTAACTAATCCAAGTATCGACACTTCATCATGCGGAGGTCAATTGTAGATCATTGACTAAATGTTTTCATTCTTTTGATATGTGGAGGTCAATTGTAGTTCGTTTACCTGTGATGAGTTTCGGCAATCCCCATCAAATTAAGAAAGTGGCTGAATGCACGAGCCAGTGTCAGTGCTTCCTCCAGTGACATATTTGCTATTTCAGAGGTCAATTGCTTCTCTAAAAGCTCTGCCGTATCTTCAATACCAGCTAGACGAAGATTTAAAGCACTCTGAAAGGTAAAGCCAAACCAAAATAGTATCATCACAGGGTCGATTACTATTTATCAACAATCGCGCAAGAATAGAATAATTTATGCAGTTAAAGACACTTCATCGTTAGATTCCAGGATCGAGAAGATAACTAAAACGCATAATCCGGATCTTAAACGGATCCACCCAGAAAAAGAAAGCTAAAAACTAGATAAGTAATCTTCCAACCTTCTTTATCATAGTACTCTCTAAACTGTGTAAATCAAACGCAAACACAGAAGTATTTGTTTCGTCAATCGCAAGCAATTAGAAAAAGACCTCTCGTATATTTCCATTTCCTTTTAACACAAATCGATCGTTGAAAGACGATCAAACACTGCGACAGAATTTTCAGTTCTTTAGACGGATCGGAATAAAAATCGAACAGAAGACGCAACAAAAAAAAGCACAAAAGGAGCTCCGGAAACAGAGAGAGAAGCCAAAAATAGAAGCAAAACCTGAGCGAGAACCCGAGTCCGTTCGATTTTCTCCATGAAATCGGTGCCGACTTCTCTCTGCAAGACGTCGTTGAAGAGGCTGCCGAGCAGCTTGCAGTCATCCTCGAAGCTCTGGAACGAAATTTCCTCCGCGATGTCGTCCGTCGTATCCGTCATCGTTTGTCGAGAAAAAACGGCGATTCCTGAGAAATCTGAGAGACGAAGAAAGATTACTTTGACCGTCGAGTAGACCTGGAGAAGGAAAGAGAGAAGAAAAGAGTGTGGAAAAGAGTGTCCAAGGAGAGTGAGATATTTTGTGAAGAATGCCGTACAATCGAGTGTGATAGTCTGTTGTAAGTGGGCCCTACGTACAAACTTGACGCTCTCAGATGATGACACGTGACATGAAGAATCTGTAAATTTGGCAGTGCCAATTGGTAATTACCGAAAATATGGGGGATTCGCTTCTCCCTCTTCCCAATTTTGCTGTGTTTTGAATTTTTACCTCCAAACTAATAATACTCACTAAAATTTAGATCCTCGAGTATGGTATATATAAATCCGCTAAGCGGATTCGACAATAAGGAAATTGAAAAGCGGTACATAATATATAGTCCATTAAGCTTTAACTCAATAATTTTGAATGTCGTAATCATAGAGGATCGTTTCTTTTGGTCCGTCTAGTATAATGATATAAAGCGGCCTAATACTATTATAGTGAATAAACTATACACTAATTATCATTCCCACTAGAATTATGATTATAGTATTTAGAGATGTTCTACGTCATTTCCATCACATATCACATACCCTACATGAGCAAAATCGCTTTCCTACATTTACACATGAAAAGTAGATATATATATGTCTTTCGGAATCCATGCAGTATACATTAATATATATATATATATATGAAAATGTGTCTATAAATCTGTCGAAAGGATGTGAGTTTTTAGCTTGATTTTGGGCGGGCCGGGAACAATTTCCGGAGAGACTTGTGTCTAATTAATGCATCAGCTTCATGTAACAGTAATATGAGTAATAATATGGGTGGAATTTGGAAGGATTGACTTGTCTTAGGAATCTTACTGCTAGAGATTTCGTTGAGAAGAAACTCAATTCAACGGGACACAAGTTTTAAAGCATAAAATAACTCAAAACACTCAAAAAAGTTTCGAAATAATATCAAAACGAATTGATTGTTCTGCCTTGTTCTTATGGGATTTTTTTTTCACTCAATCATATGATGTTTTGGTCTTTTTGGCAATCTTTCGGGAAGTGGTGGTATGAAGGAACTCTTATTGTGGCAACGCAATGGTAAGTCATTGTTCAGCCCTATGGTATGCCAAGAACCCTCACTGTGGCAACACATGGATAAAACTTCTCTATTGTCTTAGAAAATAGAAACCCACACACTTTCGGAATTTTGTTTCCATAATGGTAACGCACCCCATTTTTCCAAGCCCAACTCGCGTTTACATTTACACATGAGCTCATTCATGATTGCAACATATGAATCGAGGTTGTATTTTTCTTTCGTTGTTATCAAGTTCCAAAATCAATATTGTTGATACTGAGTATCACACAAAGAATTTAGAGATTTTATTAAAGTTATAGCTGAACTCAATATGAGCTGTCTACGTACCAAAAAAGGGATCAAGCCATTTATAGTTCATATTACAGAAAGAATAATAAAAAGATGTATTCTATGTCTTCTGCAGAGTTGTGAATTCCTCCTTGAATGAAGAAGGAGCTCTTTATTTATAGAGGTTGAAGCTGGTCGATTTTCTTTTTCCTTCTTGACTATTGATAATGCAGATTTCCTTATTTTTCGGAGTAGATAAGAATAACTTCCTTTTTTCTCGAGGAATTATCTTTTAGGAATATTTCCTTTTTCCATATAAGATTAGGAAATATTCTGCGAAATCCAGATATAAAAACTGATATTGTAAATCAGTTAACAGGTCGAATGTCTTTCAGATATGAACCATCGTAAATCGGGATCAATTGGGCTGATCTCGGTTCATACCGGACTAAACCGGGAGTGCGGAGTACACCACCAACAAATATAAATAAGACAATACAACCAAGAGACATACAAACTATTTATACACATGTTGGTTTGGAGACATTTCAAAATAGCCTTTATTTCTATCAAACAATAATTAAACTACATCGTTCCACCTTACTTAATATCATTCTTCAACTTACCATTATTTTAATCAATCAGTGCAAGCTTTTCCTCAACTAAATATGAGCCTCTTTCTTTCCACTTGTAAATAGTTTCCACTCAATACCACTAGCAACCAAATCATTTGCTTTGGCTAACTTAGACTCACAATAGTACACAATTCACCTAAGAATATTCTTGTTGTACTTGAAAGCCATTTCAATGAGATATAAAAAAATCACTTGATAAGTGACCCTACAGATTCAAATCAAGCAAGAGAAGAAACATAACAGGACCCATATCAAGAAGACAAGAACACACAGAGAGTTGCCCATATATTTAATTTGTATGTGATACGGAAGATAATTTATTTCCAAGAAAACCCAAAAACAGGAAAACAAAAAGTCATGTATCATAGCAGCATAGAAATGTTCAACACATGCTTCATAAGTAAACGCCAAGAGAAGGGCATACCTCAAGTCTATAGATTTCTAATCAGTGATCAAAACTTTCCTAAGAGTTTTCTCATCTTCCTAATTATGTGTCTTCGAGGTTTCGTGAGGTCGCTAAACGCACATGATTAGTCCTTTAATCACGGAACTAACCAAAGAGGTCACCAGAGCAAATTTTTCCCAGGTACAGGGCTAAATCTGTAAATACGCACCAAGCAATACGAACGCCACTACACGAGCCGTGTGCTATTGGAGTGTGGCTCGATAGCCTCGTTCGTAGCTACTGGTTGTGCACATTAGTGAGGTGAATTACGGAGAGGCCCTGTTTTTGGACACGTGGAGATCAATGATTAGTTAGTAGATAGAAGTCAATGGAACTACACGAGGCTATTATAGTCAGAAGGATTTTTTTTTCTCTTTTGGGCTTTTTACGGGAATGGATAATAAGAGAGAGATGCTCGATCTCCCCAAATCAGAGTAAACCCTAATTGTTTTGTTTCTTTAGCTTTCTCTCTCTCTCGAAAGGGATCAAGGAACTCGCCGGAGAGTGTGTGTGTGTGTGTGTTTTGCCCTCTCTTGACTTTAGTTTTTTCTCTTGAATCTCTCTTTGTCTGTGACTTCTTCGTGGTATTTTCGGCGAAGAAAGACAGAGATCGGATATGGCGGCTGATAACACGGGCGCGAAATCGAGCTCCGCTGCGGATTCTTACGTAGGGAGCCTGATTAGTTTGACATCCAAGAGCGAGATCAGATACGAAGGGATCCTTTACAACATTAATACAGATGAATCCAGTATTGGACTGCAAAACGGTACGATTCGTTTCGTTTCAATCACCATCGGAGGATTCTTAGATGTGGAGTGTAATTCTGATTGGTGTATCCCCGTGTGTTCTCTTTGTAATTTAGCAAAGGCTTATGTTGTTTCTTCTTCTTACTGTCTTTGTTTTTCTTGTGAAATCTAGCTCCAACCTTGAACTGTTTAGCTCGGTTTTTTGAATAAGACATATAGTTCTTGCGCTTGGAATTCATGAATAAGTAGTACTCATGTGTACTACCTATAAGCTTAGCTTTTTGAGATCGAGATTTCCCTGATCCCTGAAATTTCCACATATGTAGTCCGATCATTTGGAACTGAAGGAAGGAAAAAAGATGGTCCGCAAGTTCCTCCAAGTGAGAAAGTTTACGAGTACATATTGTTCCGTGGAACTGATATCAAGGTATCCAACAGGATTATGCTAATGTTTTTATGTAACCAGTCTTCTTAGCCTGCCCACTTTGGAGAATAATCGTTCTTGTTGTTGGCAGGATTTGCAAGTCAAAGCTTCTCCACCGGTTCAGCCTCCACCTACTATAAATAATGACCCTGCTATAATTCAGGTGAATGGTTGAAATGTTATAGGATGATATTGTCTGCGGTTTTAGAGTCAGTTTGATGTAACCCTATCCTCCCCTTGTCTTTGGTATGCAGTCCCACTATCCTAGCCCGATGCCAACGTCGAGTAGCTTGCCTCCTACACCTAGCGGGTCACTACCTGACATGAATTCTCATAATGGACAACCTGGACAACATGGAATGGGATTTCAAAACGGAATGCCTTTGTATCAGCCTGGTGGAAATCTTGGTTCTTGGGGAGCATCACCACAACCGCCAATGTATTGGCAAGGATTCTACACCCCACCTCCCAATGGCCTTCCCCAATTGCATCAACAGTCTCTGATTCGACCCCCTCACGGGCTACCAATGCCCAGTTCTCTGCAGCAACCCCTGCAATATCCGAACTTTAATGCTCCTCCACCTACTGCTCCATCAACTTTGCAAGGTTCAAGCTTGCCAGAACCACCCTCTTCACTGTTTCCTTTTAGTACCAGTTCTCAAATTCTACCACCCAGTTCATTGCCTTTCTCTGGTCTACCTATGACGCTGTCTTCAGGCCTGCAATCTACACTGCAATCAGCACCATCTCCTTCCCTAGCTTCTGAGATGGCACCTCCAATGTTGTCGAACAAATCTCCTACCCTACCTCAGGATACTAATTTGCTTCCCTATTCTCTATCAACTACTAGAGCCAACGATACAGGTGCTGGCCTTCCACTGTCTAACAAGCCTAGTGTAGTTACTGGTCCAATTTCTCTGCCGCAGACAACACCATTAACATCTGCTCCTGTTGCTGGAGTTTCTAGTTCCATTAGTCAAGATAAGCCAAAACCTTTGTTAATTACTCCTGGCCAACTGCTGCAGTCTGGATCTGCTCCAGTCTCTCTGTCCCCACCCTCTAAAGATGCGGATAAAGATGTTGAGGTGGTTCAAGTATCATCATCAGATGGGTTGGAGCAATCTGTTCCAATCACATCAGAAGCCCAGCCTCCAATACTGCCATTGCCTTCCTCTGCAAGGCCAACTCAGAAGGTATTAAACTTGCATAAATTTCTTAAAATATTTATCTACACATTACCCCTTTAACTATATCGCTCTTCACTTATTGATATGACAAAGACTCTTGAATTCTAGATAAGAGTTTTTGAGCGGTAATGAACGCTTTACATGAAATGATATTGTATTTGCTGATGTCCGAGTTAGCTAGATTAACCTGTTACTGTTATTTTATGCACCTTGGGTAATTAATACCCATTTACCTTTCCACTTTATGTCTCTTTTTCCTTGTCGAAGATGCATGGAAAGCTCTCTGGGTTCCTTCCTTGGTCAATTAGATTTTATCCTTCATGTCTACTTACACGTCTTCAAGGTTTGATTATTAATTAAACGTGTTTGCTAATTGTTTCTGTCAGCCAAACGAGCATTCTTTCCCAAATCATAATGGTTACAGGGGACGTGGGAGAGGACGAGGAAGAGGAGCAGGGGTAATATTCTTCTCACTCACTATGTAGAGTGTGACGAGCATTTATTTGTTTTTGCCAAGATATACTAGTTAAAAATTTAGCCCATGAATCAATCATAGCTATGCTAATAATCCTCCTTGTTGGCAGAGATCACACCAGGTGATGAAGTTCACTGAAGATTTTGATTTCACAGCGATGAATGAAAAGTTCAATAAAGATGAAGTATGGGGTCATCTTGGAAAGAGCACCAATGGTGATGGTGATGATGATTCCCCAGTCGTAGATGAAGCTGAGCTGCCTAAGATCGAGGTCAAAGTAAGTGAAGTAGACTTATAATAAAGTAAAACGCCATATTCTCGCCCCTTCTCTGGTCTCATAGACCTTGATTGTTTACTGGTGTAGCCTGTTTACAACAAAGACGACTTTTTCGATAGCCTCTCATCAAATTCCATTGACCGGGATTCCCAAAATGCAAGGCCTCGATTCTCAGAGCTACGTAAACTAGATACTGAGGTACAATCTATATATTTCCACGCTCTAAAAGCAGACTAGATGTAACTAACCCCTTATGGTTTCTGGAGAGAAACCCATTGACTCTTAACAAACGGTAACGGGTATGATTCCAGACATTTGGAGAGTTCTCAAGATACAGAGGAGGCCGAGGAGGGCGTGGTGGGTATGGTCGAAACGGTCATTCACGTGGCGGTTATGGTGGACGTGGTTATGGCGGATATGGTGGGCGTGGTGGTGGTGGCGGCGGCTATGGATATGGTGGTCGAGGCCAAGGAAGAGGTGTATCAAATCGTACTTCCTAGAGATTGTGGTAAAAGGGGTTCTAAAGACTCGAAGCCGATGGTGCTCATGCTTTTGAGTGCTTTTGGTAAGTTGCAATAAAACAAAGACTGAGTCTGATGTAATGTTTAAAAGAAGCCCTCTTGTGTGGTTTTCGAGTGTATCAATTTGATTTCTGATTTTTGTTTTAAGACTTGGTAACAGCGTCTGTCTTTCGATATTCAAATGTTATTTTGAACGTTTTGTAGACTTGCGTTTGTGTGAATTGCATTTTGAAATCATTTAAATAATACGCTTCTTGCTCTTTGAGAACTTATTGTTGACTCTGGAGTCTGGACTTAAACACTTTGACTTTGAGCACGTTTCTAGCAGCCTTGAATCAAAATGGGCCGTACAAGGAGATAGAGAGAGGTCCATGTTACATATTATATAGATCCGTAATGTCTTTTATAATTGAAAAGGGAAACATCACTTTGTCGGCAACTCAAAGTCTCACAGAGAGTGTAGTCACTTTACTCAACTTTGAAGAGAGATAATAGAATGGCAAGTGCATCACTTGTCTTGTTTGCGAGACTCTCAGGTTTAGTAATCGCAGTTTTGGTTCTCTACTGGGCTCTCTTGCTTAAGACCAGCTTCGTCCCTCGTCAAGGCCTCACATACTCTGTAATTCCTCACACTCCTTACTTGTTGATTTCAATTCGATCTTCTCTCTCTCTCTTTCTCTGGGGGTCTCTAATCAAATTTATTATACTTTGTAGACTCTTCATCCTCTGATGATGGTGATTGGCTTCATTCTTGTAAGTGGAGAAGGTAGTAGTGATCCCTCTCTTCATCATACCTAGTGAAGATTTCCTCTCTTTCTTGCATATTTATTGATTGGAATTTGGGGTGGGTTTGATTGTGCAGCGATTCTGATACACAGATGGTTGCCTGGTTCGAGGAAAACGAAGAAAGCAGTTCATTTATGGCTACAAGGAGTGGCATTGGTCTCTGCGGTGTTTGGAATTTGGACAAAGTTCCATTCTCAATTGGGAATTTTCTCCAATTTCTACAGTCTCCATTCTTGGATGGGTTTACTCTCTGTTTCTCTCTTCGCTGCTCAGGTCCCTTCTTTTACTCTTTCCACCTAACATTATTATTTTATTTTTTGTTTATTCTAAACATATGAGATGGTATTTTTTAAATTGCATGTAGATGCTTTTAAAGTTCTAAAACTTTTATTTCAAAAGGTCGGATTACCCGTTGCTGTCATTATTTTTTTTTTCTCTTTTTTTTATATGTCTGCTATCAACCAATAATGCAAAGAATTGACAAAGGAAGCAATTGAATACCCCACTTGAGATTAGTTTCTAATTGTTACGTAAACTGACAAGATTCCCCTAAAAGAATTAATTATTATTTTTATTATTGTTAAACAGACAGAAGCATTCATTACTCTCACTTCAATCCATGCATTATTATGTTATTGCATAACGGGAATCTTGTCAGTTTCCGTAACAATTAGAATCTGGGTGATAAGTTATCTGTGATAACGAAATGGCCTCTCAACTGGTTTTGGAGTTCAACAAAAATGACGCTTGTGTTGCAGTGGGTGACTGGGTTCTTGAGCTTCTGGCATAGAGGAGAAGTACGGACAACGAGAACAACGTTTCTTCCATGGCACGTTTTCCTCGGACTCTACACCTATGGTCTAGCCATTGCAACTGCCGAGACCGGACTGCTTGAGAAGCTGACGTTTCTTCAGACCAAAAGAAACGTCCCTAGACGCTGTCCTGAATCAATGATCGTCAACGGTCTAGGGCTCGGCTTGGCTCTACTCAGTGGCATTGTTATAACTGCTGCTATTTTGCCCAAGTATCAGAGCCATTCTGGTAATGAGAAACTCGTTTATTCATCTCAAGATCGTCCCAAATGTTTGACTTCTTGAGTTTTTCTTTTTTTTTTTTAATGACAAACTACACATCTCTGGTGTACAAAAAAAAAAGAACAAATTAGTTCCGTGAAAATGTATTACCGCATTGTGATGATGAGACTTCTGTCCAGAAACTTGGCTCCTCCAACCTTTCCTTGAATCTGAGACGGTAAACGAATCACTCGTCTTTGGTCCCCTGCTTCTATTAAGAGCTCAGAGCCTCCTCTGTACTGTAGATTCATCAAGAAAACCGAAAATCATTCGCATTTTTAATCACATATGTACAAGGAAGATAATAAAGGAGAGAGCTTCACAAGAGGAACCAAAGAGAGTCTGAATGGAGATGAGAAGTTTTGTTTTTTTGTTTTACCTGGTACAGTTTGATTTCCGATTTTTCAAACCCCGGCATGAAAAGAGTCACCGATTTCTTTGCTGTATCAAACATTACTGGTGGTTTCAAGCTCCCGCCTTGGCTTAATATTCCAGAAAGAAGTTCCCGGACACTAGAATTTTCTTGGTCTAGCAGAATTTTGTCCCAGTCCAGACCATTTCTAGTAAACGGAACCAATGCAGAAGCAAAGGGCAGCGGCACAAATTCCTCTTTTGTGGTTTTGTGTGACTCAGTTGGCAGATTTGAAGAAGAAGAAATAGCAAACGCTGCAGAGGCATGAGATCCTGCTTGTATTGTACAACCCCAATAGCGTAACGCAGATTTAACAGACATGGGATTGTTTGGATCCATCACAAGAAAACTCCTGAATCTGTCTGTATCACTCAAAGCAGAAGCGCCAGTCTGCAGTTTGCAAAAAATCCATAAGCAATTTTGGAGCTACATTAGTTGAAGAAACTGAGTTACGGATATAGATAAGCTACCTCCAAGAAACGTTCCAAAGTATCCCACATATCAGCACTTGTCATGCCATTAAAAGGTGACTTGTTGCCGCTCATGTTCATTGACTCATCAACAAATCTTAATATGGAAGGACTTGTTAGCCTCCCAAGATCAGTCTTCTCGGCCATACTTCTCAGATATTTCACATACAATCTGCACACAAAAAGAAGCATACTTTCCTAAAGGGTTGCAAGAAAGAAAAAAAAACACAGAGAAATCAGAAACAAAAGAAAAGCAAAAACATAGTGCAGACCTTGTTTTACTGCTTAGACCTATCATCCGAAGAGTTTCCTCAGTGCTAATGCCATCGTAAATTATAACATCAAAAGTCTTCCCCTTGTGGTTCTTTCGGGTTGCTTGCCTAAAGAAACCAACAAGCCTCTCGAGTTCAAGCATTGAAAAGATGGAATCCATCCCTGGAAGCACTCCTAGCTCTTCTCCAACCACCTACTACACAGCAATAGCCAAAACAAATGTGGTTTTCAAATCCCAATCTCTTTTTCCGTCGACACTCGCAGATATGAAGGTGTGTTCACATACCTACCCCTTCAAGAACCCCTTGGGTCATATTGAGTCGGGCATCTGCTTGCTTCAGCTGCTTAAGAGGTTCTAGAAGCATCTGCAGTTTTTTCAGGAACCGTTGTTTCAGTAAGTTCAAACTGTGAACCAGACATAAAAGTATACCAAGATCGAGACAAAGAGGGACACACCTTTGTGGTTTCCAGCCTAATAACCGAGAGATTGTCGTTGATTAAGGTAGGAGAAGCCCCAATCTTGCTTCCAAGAAGGAAATCAGCAGACGTATCTTGATTTTGTACCACCAAACATGTACTGAGCCCAGCCAATGCGTAATGCTATGAGCATAGCCATGGCATTAGTTAGTAACAACACCAAAAATTCAATCTCGATACACAATATCGAGATGCAACGAAAGTTACGAAACCATTAAGATAAGCCGAGAGGAAAAAGCTTTGATCTTTCAGGTTCAACAGATTCAGTACAACGAACAATTCTAACATTATAGATTCATGGTGACTGAGAACCATCTCTAGCTGGCTCCGATAAGGTCCAGAAGCAAAATTGATTCATGCAATTGCTACTAGAGAAGAGTTTGATGAATGCAACGAGAAAGAGAATCGAAGAATGTTTTTTTTTAAATACCTGAGCGGCGAAAACAGCGGCGGTGGTCTTGCCGGAGCCGCCTTTTCCGAGAAATGTGACGAATTTGGTGGGTTTCGGAGATGAATCTCCGACGGAATCGTTATCATTTCTTGAAGATGTTGCCACCACAGAAGCTGCTCGACGTTTCCTGGAGATGGAAGCTGCTTCGGTCCGCACAAGTGGGAGGAGATTCAGAGTTGGGCTTGAGCATGTAAGAGAAGAAGCGAGCAAAGACACCATTTTTGTTTGTGTGTAAAATTGAAGAGATTGAGATTGGCCGGAGCTTATGGAGGTTTTGAGCCGCTTGTGAAGGAATGTGATAAAAGGAGTGACCGGAGGTTACACAGCGACACACAATTGAGGCTTGCGTTCGACTTTTCTGACCAAATTAACAGAAAAAATGCGGTTTACATTTTCCAACTACTACATGGATCATGCTCCATTTTAGTGTCTTTAAACGCCATTAATTAATATCATATCCTAAAAATCTTTATAATATAAAACCAAAAATATAAAATTTCAATATGTTTATAATCTTTTTTATTGACATATTTTATTTTTCCACTAATGAAAACCAACTTTTAATAAGACAGATGAAATTGAATGTTATGTTTCAACAAGTGTTGTTAATGATAAAGAAGGTAAACCAAGAAAAGAAAAGAAAAGAAATACTGTTTCACGAAAAGCCATCTAGTCTAATTTCCAAAACAGTTTGTTTGAAAATTCATAGTTAAATCGAAATTAATTTTTAAAAAATGAAGTTTTAATCAGTTACAATTTATTTTAGCTTGGTGTAATTCCGGTTAAAGTTTATTCAATTAAAAAAAAGTGACATCGATTTTCAAATTGAATTTTGCAGTATGATTTTATGATTTGAGTTGGATAGGATCGGTTGAACCGAATTAAGTCTATCCTAATTTAACTATTTTAAACACATCCTGAATTTCCGCGTGCGGAAGTAATTAGCATCACTAAAACGGCCGCGTTCGGTTAAGATAGAACCGATAGAACAAGACGTCGTTTATATATGTGAATAGAATAATACAAACTCTTCTAAACTTTTAGCAAAGCCATAGATTTGCGATTGAGCACCTCATCTCAGACCAGAAGAAAAAGTAAAATTACGAAGAACGATTTGATCAATTTTCGATAGAACAAGATGGTAAGTGTTGTTGTTTTTTTTTTTCCAATCGATCATACAAATAATTGCTCCCGTATGTTAATTGCTTGATTTCCCTTCTGTCACCTTCGGGTGGTGGTAAATTGGGGGATATGGTGTTTTTTGATTGGAATTGAATCTCCGAAGCCCTAAGATATACTGGGATGATTTGTTTATTTCAATCAATTTTGGATTTATTTTAAGATGTCGGGTCTTCGGTGCTGAGATTTGGGTTTAGGGTTTCAGAATGGGTTTCTTCGGAATGATTATATCGTACGTGATTTTATCAATAGAATAATGTCTACTTTCTCCGGAATCCACTAGCTTTATCGGTTTTTGACAATTTGAAACTTTTTTCAGGTTTTAGCTTGTTATCCAAAATTCTCTCTTATGTTTCAGCTAATCAAATCAGTTATTTGTCTTTTGATTATTTGGGAACCTTTCTGGGTTTGAGTTTCATTGATTATAGTTTCATGTGTTGATCCTTTTTTTTGTTTCCCTTTTTGCAGTCGACTCTTGCAGCTGCCAGGGCAGACAACTTCTACTATCCACCAGAATGGACTCCCGATCAAGGTTCCTTGAACAAGTTTCAAGGACAGCATCCTCTGAGAGAGAGGGCAAGGAAATTAGGCGAGGGAATCTTGATCATAAGGTAATATAATCAAATACTTTATATTATTAGCCCATTCCAGTGACGGCCTAGTTCCGAGGTTGTTATGCTACCTTTGGTTGAATTTGCACAAGTTGTTCATTAGATTCCTTTCGTAATTCATGAATAGTGTTAAACCATTATGATGATCAAAAGTAGGAAAAAGTGTGTATTAGGCTTGAGTTGTTGTCAATGTGTTGGTAATGGCTTGATGTTAAAAGTCTGTCCCTGGTGTACATTCTGTTGATAGATCAGAAGCTTTGTTTTTGTTTGATTAGCAGGAGGGTACTCTCCCATAGGTTGAATTTTTCATTTGGGCTTTTACTTTGTTCAGGTTCGAGATGCCCTATAATATATGGTGTGGCGGCTGCAATTCTATGATCGGCAAGGGTGTTCGATTCAATGCAGAAAAGAAGCAAGTTGGGAACTATTATTCCACAAAGGTACGTTTTGAAAGTCTTCCTTTTTCTGTGATCACTTAAGCTTCTGTTTCTGCTCCTATCCACGAAAACCTTTAATTTCCCAGATTCATGTGCATTCCATTGTATATTCTCTTTTTGCTTGTTATAGAACTGGTGCTGAGGTTTGTATCTCATATTATGGTCAGATATGGAGTTTTGCAATGAAAGCACCATGCTGCAAAAATGAGATAGTCATTCAGACAGATCCCCAGAACTGCGAGTATGTAATTACTAGTGGTGCCCAGAAGAAGGTTGAGGAATATGACGTGGAAGACGCAGAAACCATGGAGCTCACTGCTGAGGAAGGTTGGTTTCTACCTTCTTCGACAAGTTTGCTTTTAGAGTCTCTATAGGTCTCTCAATAGGGGTTTGGCTTTTCATCTTTCTTATTTGTTCTGTCTGTTCATTCTTGATATGATTTTATAATCTTGTGCAGAGAAGGGTAAGCTTGCGGACCCGTTTTATCGTTTAGAGCACCAGGAAGTTGATTTGCAGAAGAAGAAAGCAGCAGAACCTCTTTTGGTCCGTCTCCAGCGAGTCTCAGATGCAAGGCATGCAGATGACTACTCCCTAAACAAAGCTCTACGAGCACAAATTAGGGTAAGTTACAAGTTTGCAGTTTTTTTGTCTGCTTGCAATCTCGTTTTTTGATTCCTCCTTTCTAACTCTTGCTTGATCTCCAGGGGCACAGGAAACGTGTAGCTGAAGAAGAGGCTGCTTCAAGGAAGCTAGGCTTGGGGATAAGACTTCTTCCAAAGAGCGAAGAAGACATTGCAGCTGCATCAAACGTGAAATTCAAGACCAAGTTTGATAAGAACCGAAAGGATAAACGAGCGCTGATTCATGCATCTTCCATCTTTCCCGAGTCATCTTACGCGATGTCATCATCGAGCAAGAAAAGATTGGAGCTAGAAGCAAAGAGAAGGAAAATAAGTGCCGCGTCAGCCTCGAGTCTATTGAGAGGAGGATTCAAAGCTTCAGCATTGTCTAAAGTCTCATCAGCAAGCAAGTTCAAGAGTTCATCAGTTTCTGTAATAAGGAAGCACTAATTTAGTAACTGTGCTTGAGCCTTGAAGTTTAATCCGTGTAAGAAAAAGAATAAAATCAACCTTATCAGTGAGATCTTTCTACGTGTGGAAAATTGATGTGATCGTGTTCTTGTTAGTTTTCACTAATTTGGATTTGTTAATCAGAATCACCAACAAAATATTCCCTTTTAGTGTAAAATAAAGATGATGTTTGGAATTGATTAGATTTTTTAATACAATGTAATATGTAGGAATTTTAGGAACGAAATATTTAATATATGATCCAATATTATGATAAGATATGAAAAGTCAAAAGAAGTTGTATTTTGAGTTCTTAGACAAGGTCTATTCGACAATAAACATACGACCTAGAAATGAACAAGAACGCAAAGAAAGCAATGGCGGTGAATGATGCAAGCAACAAGTAAAAGTAATCTACATGAGCCTTGTTCAGGTTTGTGTTGAACCAGCTGTCTCCGCCATCTCTTCCCGTAACCCAATCAACCACAACGATGAGCAAACCGCTCAAGAAGTTGGAAAGACCCATCGCACTCAAAGAAAACGCGAGACCGATACTTCTCAGCTCTTTAGGAACCTGGTCGTAGAAGAATTCTTGTGTACCTACCAGCGAAAACACGTCGACCATCCCGAGTAACATATACTGAGGGACGAACCACCATATGGACATTGGCACCGTTGCTTCCGGCTTGTGTATGAGCCCGTGTTCCTCAACGATTTTTAACCGTTTGGTTTCTACAAATGCTGCGAGCACCATATTGAGGCTCGAAAGCACCATCCCGACTCCTATTCTCTGGAGCATTGTGATCCCGTAAGACTTTTTGGTTATCAATCTAGCTATTGGAAGGAACACACGCTCATAGATAGGAACTGAGATGAGAACAGATATAGCCACGAATGAGAGTAAAGAAGCCGAGGGGATTTCAACGCCTGGTAAGATTTTTCTGTCCACGGTAACGCCTTGCTTCGTGAAGAAAGTAAAGTATTGAGCATAAGGAATCATGCTCACCACCGATGTGATCCATATCGGAATAAGACGTACCAAACTCTTGGCGTCTTCCACGTCCCTACCACTACATGGCTTTGCACCTCTTCCTTCTCCTGATATCATCGCTTTTGCTAGGAAACTTGTCACACAAGGTATAGAAATTTACACTAAAATTAGGTCAAGCATTAACCAAAACAAAAGAAAAAAATGATCAGCAGAGTTTTGGGATTTATGCAACTTACTCGAGCGGACCTTTAGGTTCCTCAGACGGACCGTCCTCCAGTTGACCTAAACTCAGTTTTCGATTCTTGAACGCCACGACAAAAACCCTACTGATTCTTGAAAACGCGTTATTATTATTTTCTTGGCGATTTCTCTTTGGGTATCTGTAAAATTTTCTCCCGAGCAAGAAGATAGCAAGAGCCATAACCATGAACAAACAAGGAATCCCAAACCCAAGAGCCCAATTGACATTGCTTTGAACATACACCACCACAATTATCGACAAGACAATTCCCGCGGATAAACTCAAGAACCACCAATTGAAAAACGATCCTCTAGCTATTCTCTCTTTAGTATCTTCCGAGTCAAACTGGTCCGCACCAAACGCTTGAACACACGGCTTGTGTCCGCCTTGTCCTATGGCCACAAGATACAGAGAGCAGAAGAAAAGTACTTTCAACCATAAAGACGGTTTAGAGGAATTTTCGTTACGTGGCTCTGATGATGATCCCATGAGGGTTAGGGAAACCGATAAGGTCAATAGCTCCATCCCCTGTAATAATCTCACCCGGTTTACTGTTAGGAATGTTTTGAGCTGGAGAGGAGAAAAGAAGAAGACCAAGGTACGAACCAGTATGTAGATGAGGGAAGCTACAAGAATTGTCCGGTAACGACCGAGATAAGCGTCTGCTAAGAAAGCTCCTATAATAGGAAGCGTCGAGGCGGTTCCTAACCACGTGTTCACGTTCACGGCGGCGGTCGCCGTCGATTGTCCGAGCTGTCCGGTCAGGTAAGTGATCAAGTTGCATCCAATCCCAACGTAAGCAAACCTCTCTGCAACTTCCACACCTTGAAACATACATACATAAGGAAAAAGAAACCAAGATTTAGCAACATTTTAACGAACAAATTAATCACTATGTTACTCCAATATCTCCTCTCGATTTGTTATATTATTTTGGTAGTCTTTTCACCTATTATGAACCAGGCGGATCTCCATCCGCCGGTGGAAGACTTTCTGGCGGGATTTCCACAGTGGTCGACGGAGTCGCTGACTAAATCTTCCAGAAGTTGAGCTTCTTCCTCGGGTATCGTCATTTCTTGCTAAATGAGATTAGGAACTCTGTGAAAACTGGATTTAAGCTACAGCTAATTATGATAAATTTTCTCTTATTCACAATCTTGTTCTCTTTTTGATGAGATTATGACAAGGAGGTGTAGCAGTCAGTGAACAATATATAGAGAGTACATACCAGTTTACCATTAGTAGTGTATATGACATATTTATTGTTATTATAAGATTATGCATAATCATTTGTATGGACCAGTTTTTCACGAGCTATACTTTAGTCGTCTATATTATTTGATTAATCCAAACCTAGGCACATGCAATGTTACGTTATTATATCATTTATTTTTCTTCATCATTGATTAATTTAAGGAAAAAATATAGCTAGCTATACCAACTATATGGTACTTTGCATGGTCACACATATGAACTAAGAAAATGAATGTTTACCTACATCAACTAATCTATAATGCATGGTGACATATATCAATCTCGAGATTTATTAAATTCAGGTTCATATATCAATCAAACGTAAGCAATTAGAGGTTATGGAAATACAATTAATAAAAGTATCTTGATTAATCACAAATCTCCAACAATATCATTAATATGAGAAAATACCTACTAAAGAGAATATTTTGTTGGTGATTACGATTGACAAATCCAAAATATCATTGTTATTACATATTCGAAACTAGAATATCGCAATGATCGCATAATATATTACCACTAGGCTCGTAAAGGAATTGTTCCTTTTTTTTTAATTAGCGGCAAGCCTGATGTATATGAACTCAAAATCTAAATTGACTCAACAACAGTGAAATTGTTCTCAAGATAAATCAATCTCAAAAGAGAATGAATTTACGAATTGCCTCAAAGTGAAATCTCACAATTCGTATTGGACACGAAATGAAAAGTTTCGTACTAGTGAAGTGCATCAACGTTGAAATGCTTTGCTTTTTGGTAAACACACTAAGGCCATCTCCAACCCTGAGACTTACTATGGGGTTCATGGGGAATATTTTGCAATTTTTTAAAGTTTGGTGTAAAATGAAGAACTCTTACCATTTTAACCCATCCAACCCTGAACTCTTTTTTGAGAGTTCATCATGATAAAAAACTAATATTTTTATTTGACTTTATATTTTCGAAATTTTTATTGAATAGATTTTATTGAAATAAAATATTTAACATAACACATAATTAGCAAAGCATAACATAATATATAAAAATACAAAAAATAGAAAATTTTAAAAACACATTACAAATTCAAACTTAGAAATCAGCAAAAGGCTAATTCTACTGTTGAGTTGATCCAAATGTATACCATAGATGTTCAACTAAATCAGATTTCAGTTGGTGATGGGTTCGGTTATCACGAACTTGATTACGAATGCCCATCATGTTGTGCAGATTTGTGGGTCTATCAGTTGAATAATCCATATCGACTTGTGAAGTTCTGCTTCCCTCACCTTGTTCAAACTCTGATAAATTATATTGAGTTTTGTCATCTCGCTCGTCTTCCACTATCATATTGTGTAATATGATACATGCCCTCATAATCTTTCCTATCTTTTCCTTATCCCAAATGAGAGCCGGATTCTTGACAATGGCAAATCGTGCTTGCAAGACTCCGAACGCCCCCACAAACTTACACACTTGGTCATTAAGCCTTCCCCATCTCTGCTTGCAATGACTGGCCTCCCTTGGTTGTCCCACCACTTGTGGACTTGCATTGAAATATGCTTGAATTCTTTTCCAAAATGCGCCTGCTTTCTGGTCATTGCCAACCACCGGATCTTTGCTGGTATTTAGCCATGCACTGATCAAGACAGTATCTTCAAGTGGTGTCCACTTCCGCCTAACACTTCGGTCCTCTTGCGTTAAAGTTGGATCTTCTTGGCTGCTAAACCGTGGCACTTCAGGAGACCTAAGATCTATGGTTTGCGAGTACCCGTAAGGGTTATCTTCTTGGCTAGTTAGGAGGTTCACAAAAGAGTGATTAACAAAACCATTTGTTGAATCCATTTGGGAGTTAGGGAACAAGTGTTTGAGATGTGTTTTACAAGGAGAAGAAGGTATCTGAGTTACTGAGGTGTGTTTAGAAATGAGCTTTCAACAGGTTTAAATGGAAGAAGAAAATTTTTAAAACGGTTAAGGCAATCAATGAAAGACAATTAATGTTTAACCTACTTTACCAAGCAACCTAAACCATCGTCATTAATAAGAAAACCAACTCCATACTCGTCATTACTAAGAAAACCACCTACTTAGCTAAAAGAGGGAAGAATAAGACTAACCTTTATTGACTGTCGCAAACCATGACACTCAAAATGCTTCACTTCTAGTTGGAAACTCCTAACTTCATGGGTATTCCAGTTACATACTCCATTTGGCCTCGCAGAAATGAAATAAATGTTAGGAGAGACATAATAAACGGTAAGTGTATCAGAATCATTAATAACAAAGCGTGTAAAATGGATGAAACCATTCAACTCATCAAAAGACCCATCATAATAACCAAATACGATGAAGACCCATCATAATAACCAAAAACGATGAAGACCCATAAAAAGAACCTGACAAAAACGATGAAGAGCCATCAAAATAACCAAAAACGATGAAGACCCATCAAAATAACCAAAACATATATACAAAACGATGAAGACCCATCGAAATAACCAAATTGTCTTAAAAAATCCGAATACAGAGTACTAAAATAGAGAGTTGTTACTAATTCCGAGTATAGAGTTGATAGAATCGCACAAAACGATCAATAACAACAAGCGTGTAATGTATCGAACAAAAACCCTACAGCTTCTAAACAATCGAACAAAAAACCTCGATAACAAGCAAATCAAATCGATAACCCTAATTACGAGTATGTAAAAGATAGAATACCAAATCCGCATAGATAAGTTATCGCAAACAGACTCTAAATGTGTCACTAAACTCAATTTAGAATAAAACCCTCAACCAAAAATTTCCCCAAATCGAAAAACCCTAAGCAAAATTTACAACCATCCAAGCTTTTCAAGTCATTCGATTTCCAAAAAGAAGAGTCGAAAACATACCTTGACACAGTAGGAAGAGAAGCCCTCACAAATTCGCTGTTAAACTCTCCGATTAGCCATCGACGATTATCGCTGCAGAGAAGAAAGTTTCGCATGTTTTCATCGATGAGAGATGAAAATTTTCGAGATGAAGTGAGAGAAAAAAGTTTCCACAAAATTACCTCAACTCACCAACAAATCAGCTGTCGACATGTGTGTTATGAACCTGCTCCTTCGGATCCTCTGCAGTGAACCAGTTCATCAAATTTTTCCTTTTAATCGATTAAAACATAACAAAAAAATCAGTCAACTTTCCTTATGAACCTTTGGCGAACTCCCGTTGGAGATGCCCTAATGCTTTGGTTTTTGGTTGGATGATTATAAATTCAATAATCCTCTCACGGAAGATCCACCACCATATCATAAATGGACAGTGTATCATCATCATTAATCTTATTAATTTTAAATATATTTTAAATATTATAACCCATAATTTTACTTTAGTGAGCTTAAAACAGAAAACTTATTTATTAGACCCACCAAAGACATCACAACCGTTGATTTATATACGACGAGATTATTACGATGTAAGTCAACGCAAAGTCGTCGTAGCGACCGCGTCGCACCAAATAACTTCCTTCACTCTTCCAAAAACATTAAAACTGGCGCCTCTCTCTCTCTCTGCTCTCCACTTCCCAGTTATTTCCGGGACAAAGATTTTATATTTTCTCCAAAATCTTTTTTCTTTCTCTTCTAGCCAAAAAGAAAAGTGAAACAGTACTTGAGTTATTTGTTTGTATCGATTTGGGTGTCGAGAAAACTTCAAAACCCAAATATCAATTCACACTTTGAGAGAGTTGTCTAGGGTTTTTTTTTGGGGATTCTGCTTCTCTTCGTTCTGATCTTTTTCTTCATCGAGCTCTCATGGCTGGGTAAGCACTTCTTTTTCTTCTTCGTATCCTACTTGCTCTAGGCTTTGTCTAGGGCATTGAGTTTTTAGTTGACCTTAGTACGATTTCTGTCTATTTCAATCGAGAAAGCAGACGGAAAAGTTTGAAGCTTTTTTCTCCCCGCTTTTGTGAATCAATGGAGCTATATGTCTTATTATTTATGAAAATCCGCATTTGGGACATTCATTGATAGGGTTATAAAATGGGGTTTCTAAAGCTTCCGCTTTTCCTCCCAGAAATTTGGATCGATGAACATGAAGTTCGTAAATCATACATTTTAAACAGCTAATTAGTATCCACTATATGTCTATAGCCTTTTAAATGCATCAGATTTAGGTCAAGTAGATATCCATGGTTTGTTTCGGTGGAACAGACTCCATATCCTCTTTGTTCCATGAGGACAAATTATTCCGCAGAATAAAATGTTTGGTTTTTCAAGAAATCTAGGGAATTAGTTTTGTTTATGTTGACCATGTCTTCTTTTTGAACCTCTATTTGGAAATGCTACTGGAGAAAACCTTTTTCATTAGAGCTATGTGTTTTGATATCATCTTTCCTATAGTTGTAGAATATATTGAACTACTGTCTTGACCAATGGATGCCTTTCTTGCTGTATGCAGGCGATCATGGCTGGTTGATAAACACCGTTTTGCAACCAAGATTAAGAATGCATCGGCTAGTTCTGACCCGCGCCAAGTGGTGTACAGCAGCAATCCTACAAGACATTGTCCCAACTGTCATCACGTCATTGACAACAGCAATGTACGGTTTGCTCTTTCGTTTCATTTGATTTCGATTCTCTGATTTGTCTTTCTATGTAGTTGTAACATACACGTGTTTTGTACATTTCCAGGAAGTTGATGATTGGCCAGGATTGCCTCGAGGTGTGAAATTCGATCCATCTGATCCAGAGATCATATGGCATTTGCTTGCAAAATCTGGTTCATCGGGTTTAACTTCCCACCCTTTCATTGATGAGTTCATCCCAACCGTCAATCAAGATGATGGAATCTGTTACACTCATCCTAAGAACTTACCAGGTTAGGCAAATTCAGGTTTTCTCTCTTATTTCACCGAGTTTTGAAAGTCTTTTTATCTAACTCAAATTGAAATATTTTAGGTGTCAAGAACGATGGAACCGTGTCCCACTTCTTCCATAGAGCAATCAAAGCTTACAGCACAGGAACTCGAAAGCGTAGAAAGATTCACGATGATGATTTTGGCGATGTGCGCTGGCATAAGACAGGAAGAACAAAACCGGTTGTGTTGGATGGTGTTCAAAGAGGCTGCAAGAAAATAATGGTTCTCTATGGTGGCAAAGCCGTGAAAACGAACTGGGTGATGCACCAATATCACTTGGGAACAGATGAAGATGAGAAGGAAGGTGATTACGTTGTTTCTAAGATATTCTACCAGCAGCCACAGCAGCAAGTTGCAGTCAAGCAAGGTGATAAGGATGAACAGGAAGTCTCTGAAGATATCTTTGCTGCAATGACTCCAAAAGCGGATCCTGTCACACCAAAGTTGTTTACACCCGAGCCTCGACAGGTTGTCCGTCTTTGCTCTGATTCTCACATCGCCAATGACTATGCTACTCCTCATGACTATGTGACTGCCCGTGAGGTTTCTCTTGCTGAGGTAAAATTCTTATTGTTCTGCTTTCTTTTGACAAGTCCCTGTGTTAGTCTAGCTAGCGCAGGGGTATTGTGATTACCGTAGGTGGTTGTAGTGGATTGTAGCTATGTTGACTGTTCAGCAGCTATAGTTGAGTCAGTTAGCTACAGAGGTCGAGAGTGATGAGATTCACTCTTTAGCCAAGTATAAGCTCTTGAGATTCACTCGTTAACCGAGTATAAGCTCTTGATGAAGTGAATACAGGAGTTTACTGGGTTGGATCTTAATACATTCCTCTGTAGATTTATCACTTAATGCTATTTCAGTAACTAACTGATATTTTTTTCCTTTTTTTCCGGTACCTAAGACAACTGAGGCAATGTATATGGAAGATGAGGTTCAGGGGGTTCAACTTAATCATGGAAGACCAAGTTTCGAGTATGAGCGTGAGCCTGAGACCGGGATTGAAAACCTTGAAAATGAAATGATAGATGATAACGAAGACAAAGAGAAGGATAAAGAAGATGAAAACGACCAAGAAGACAAAGAGAGGGATAGAGAAGATGAAAACCAAGCAGAGGAAGATCCGAATTGGCCGGACAGTGGATCTCAGTTTATCTTGAACTCGCAACAGCTTGTGGAAGCCTTGTCTCTTTGCGGTGATCTCTTGCAGACGGGGTCGCAGGAGAGAGAAGAAAACACAAACAATGGAGGCTCAAGGAATAAACAACCATGTTTTGCTGACTACGCAAATCTAGGAACAGAAGACTTCAAAAGGGATCTGGAGGAATGTCAGAAAATCGTTCTTGATCCCTCCAACATAGACCTCGATACTCCACCTGAGTTTCGTCTGAGCCAGCTGGTAAAGCTCAAACGTCCTTTCTTCTCTCAAAGACTGAAACTTTTTGATGCAATGAATTCAAATGGGTTTTTGTTATATCTGTTCAGGAATTTGGATCACAGGATAGCTTTCTCGCTTGGGGCACTGGAAAGACTGACTGACTGACCAAACAGAAATCCCACGAGATTGGGACGGACAACGGAACTCATCGATATTTTTTGTTTGGTTGGCAAAACGGTGCCACGCTGATGAATGATATTTTCACTGTAGCCTGTAGGCCTCAAGTGCTTGATTTAAGGATGTTTTTGGTTTTTGTTTTTTTTTTGTTTTTTTTTTTTTTTCGGGTTAAGAACAACTACTTTGGAGCGTGTCTCCGATCTAACATTCCATGTCCGTAAGTATATAATGCTTTTGAGAATTTTACAAGTCCAAAACCTCCATGTATGGGCTCTAAATCAATAGGAAACTCTTTCTTTCTGAACTCTTGTTTCATCTCAACTAACACCAAAAGACATCGTTTGTGTTATCGTTTACATATTGTTGGCAGTGTATCACAACATTGTACTTTGTATTTCAGCTGGAAAAACAAATACACGTAAACTTCAACAATCAGATTACTATCCAATATACAGTCAGCGACACTGCTTAGATGATAGACGATATACAGCCACCTCTATTGTGTAATGATCAGGAAGATGATGATAAAAGGTACAATGAGCAGGTTTGCCCGAGTGGTTAAGGGGGAAGACTTAAGTTCTTCTGCACATAAGTGCGCGTGGGTTCGAACCCCACAGCCTGCATATTTTGTTTTCTTGTTTCCATTATCTTTTCTTTTACTTTATATAATAGAGATCGATGATCTGAGCAGCATTTTTGCTGTAAGAAAAGAGTTTTGTATTAAGCTTTTTTGTCTGATCAAAGTAATGGGCTGGGCTTATATCCCTATATAATCCGAGGTCCATTAGTCAAGGGTCCTTCACTCCTAAGAGAGAAAAGTTAGAAAACCGGATTTTGTCTAGTCTCTTATTGTGCTTGTGAAGGAAACGACAAAGTAAGCGGAGTCACGGATTCAGAGAATTTAATATATTTATTTTACGGACTAACATTTACACCCCGACCCGCGTTGTCTTCTGACGCTGATTCAGTCACTCCCTCTGGCCTCTGTGACTACTAACCACGTTGGTCTTTTCGTTCTTCTTCTTCACATTTTCATTGTTATATCTACAACTTGGTAATTAAGCAAATTGACAAAAATATTTTTAGGGAATATAACTAAATTGATTGTCAACAAAGTGGGTACCATGATCACAAATTCGGCTTATTATCTCATCAATAGAAAAAAGGGGGAGAGTTTAATTTGGATTATTTAAAGTAAGATTAGATTTAGATCGGTTTGACTTGGTTACCAACTAAACGACAATTTCAGATTTGAGCTAGTGTCAGTGTGTATACTGAAAAAAGAAAATGTTAATATTTGGTTGGTTTATGTAGAATTACGGTGAAATTTAGGTGGTGAATATTTTGTCTGGTAGTGCATGGTGACCACGTCACGGTAACAGGTAGAATGTGCTTCAATTCACTGACGTAACTCTTTTTTTTTTTTATTGGCTCTTCCCACGATACACTCCCTCACTCCCTCCCTCACATATTTTAACACTCACTACTACCCATCTTATTCGTTAGAGCTGGGCTCCGAAAAATCCAGATATCCGTAATTTTATAGAACAAAGCAAATACTAAAATTCAATATCCGTTAAAAACGGAGCAAATCACAAATACTAAAATAAATTAAGACGGATATCCGCTCCATTCCGATATAAATATATATGTATATATAGATAGATAATAATTCATATAAAGTGTATAATTATTATATATAAATGTAATTGTTATGAGTTTTTTTATAAATTTGATTATTATAAATATTAAAACTTAATAAGTTAAGTAAAAAAATATATTTTTAAAGAAAATATTGTCATTTTTAGCTAAATTTTGATTTTTTAAAATTTTATTTTAAATATATTATTATTTAAATATTTTTATGGGGCGGATCGGATATCCGGCAAATATTCAAAGCGAATATCCGGAAAACGGATATTCGGATAGTTACGGAGCGGATACGGATAAAAACATGATTATTCGGACGGAGCGGAGCGGATCACGGATATCCTCAAAATCCAGTCCGTGCCCAGTCCTATTACTCGTAAGTCGTAACTCATATTCTGGGTGCAATGCACTTTCAAATTTCAACATATGTAAATTATGGAATACTTGAAAGTTAAAAACCTTATTATACTAATCAGGTTTGTTGAAAATACAGTTAGTCAAAACAGAATATTGAAAAGGAAAATAATGGCGAAAAAGCGGCCCATAAATATAGGGAGGGAAAAAAGTGAAATATAAAGTCAGCAGCAAGTGTTGTAAATGTCCTTTAATGACCAAACTCAACACCCGCTAATCTCGCCTTCATCTTTCTTTTTTTTTTTTTTTTTTGGAAGCAAGTTGATGCCATAGTGGAATCACAGTGAATGCATACATTGGCTGCTTCCCATTGCTCTCTCAAATCGTAAAATCTCAACTAATTCCCAACAATGCCCTCCTTCTTCTTCCTCTCTCTCTCCTCCATCTGCTTCCTCCTCCTCCTCCTCCCATTCTCTCTCTCCTCCCCATTCAGTACGTCTCTATCTTACATCTCTCTCTATCCTCTTCTAGATCTGATGATGATGAACTGAATTCAATTTCTTCGCCTCTGTTTTCTCTTTTGTTGCAGATACTTCTCTCTTCATCGACTGTGGAAGTCCCGAAGCTTCCACTGACGCATTCAACCGCACATGGCTCCCCGATCGCTTCTACTCCGGCGGAAGCACCGCCGTCGTCTCCGAGCCTCTTCGTTTCCACCTCGTCGCCGAGAAAACCATCAGGTACTTCCCTCTCTCCTTCGGCAAGAAGAATTGCTACGTCGTCCCTCTCCCTCCCGGCCGATACTACCTCAGGACTTTCACCGTCTACGATAACTACGACGGCAAGTCTCACTCCCCGTCCTTCGATGTCTCCGTCGAAGGCACCTTGGTCTTCTCCTGGAGATCTCCTTGGCCTGAGAATCTCCTCCGCGACGGCTCTTACTCCGATCTCTTCGCGTTTATCGGAGACGGTGAGCTCGATTTGTGCTTTTACAGCATCGCCACCGATCCTCCGATTGTTGGCTCCCTCGAGGTCTTACAAGTCGATCCATCCTCCTACGACGCCGACGGGACCGGTCAGGACGTTCTATTGGTTAATTACGGGAGGCTCACTTGTGGTTCGGATCAGTGGGGGCCTGGGTTCACTAACCACACCGATGCTTTCGGTCGTTCGTGGCAATCCGACGAGGATTTTCGATCGGAAGGGTCTAGATCGGCGGCTCGGTCATTGTCGACGGTGGAGAAAATCAAGGGAGTGAATCAGGAGCCTAATTATTTTCCGATGAAGCTTTATCAGACGGCTGTGACTGTCTCTGGAGGTGGATCGCTTGTTTACGAGCTGGAGGTTGACGCCAAGCTTGATTACTTGCTTTGGTTCCATTTCTCCGAGATTGATTCCACGGTGAAGAAGGCTGGGCAGAGAGTGTTTGATCTGGTGGTGAATGACAACAATGTGAGCAGGGTTGATGTGTTTAGAGAGGTCGGAGGATTTGCAGCTTATAGCTTGAACTATACAGTGAAGAATCTGAGCAGTACTACTGTGACGGTGAAGCTCTCGCCTATCTCGGGCCCGCCGATAATCAGCGGGTTAGAGAATTACGCCATTGTCCCGGCTGATTTGGCCACCGTGCCTGAACAAGGTAAGGATACTCAAGGATTGTTCAATGTCAGACTATTATAGCTTTGTGTCATATTTTGACTCTCGTTTTTGTTTTGTTGTTTTTGCAGTGGCTGCTATGAGAGCATTGAAGGATTCATTACGTGTTCCTGATAGGATGGGTTGGAATGGTGATCCATGTGCTCCTACTAACTGGGACGCTTGGGAAGGAGTCTCATGCCGGCCAAACCCGCAAGGATCCACTCTCGTGATATTCCAAATGTGAGTGTCATTTACTGTTACTAGAACTGCCTTGCCTTATTCATTGTCACATCATTGGGTAGAAAAAGATAGTGTATGCCATCTGAAAGGTAGATTCTTTTGCATTAGACCAATTTTTAAGAAGTTGATATGGAAAGTTAGATTAAGTTATCTTGAACTGTATTTTTGGTATTCGCAGAAGTTTTTCAGCAACTACTTGGAATAGATGTTTACACTATAGCTGATAGCTTCATAGATAGTAATGCCTTTTGTGGTTATTATTATTTCTTATGCCTGCATTGCGCCTTTCTTATTGTTATCACGTACTTCTTAAATAGGGAGTTGCCTTGTTGTTTTTTACCTGTTTCAGAGATCTCGGAAGCCAAGGCTTGAAAGGATTTATCAGTGAGCAAATTAGTCTGCTGACTAATTTGAATAGCTTGTAAGTGACAACTACTGACTTGGTTTATCTATCTCAGAGTGTATAGCTCATTATAATGCAACTGGATCTATGTTGATTCATGTTTCTGCGTTGTGATTTCGCTTAAGATATATGAATTATTTCAATTATCTCATATTAATTGGGCGAGGCATTAATGAATTTCATCTTGTTCTGATTGCAGGAACTTGAGTTCAAATTCATTGACCGGTCCACTACCTTCAGGTCTTGGTCATAAATCCCTTGTGAGTCTGTAAGTTAACTGACACATCTCAGTTCCATGATCAATTGCCAAAGTTTATCATAGATGATAATCTTTCTTCCTTGTTACTGCTTCAAATTGTAGATAGTTTATGATAAATTTATGCACTTAAGATGACAACATAACATTGATATTGGAGTGTGATGATGGTTTAGAGCCCTTACGAAACAATATTTTCTCTGTAAATTTGTGCTCATTGTCCGCGTATTTGGGTTGCAGTGACTTGTCCAACAATCAGCTCACGGGTCCTATACCTGAAAGTCTGGCCTCTTCAAGCTTAAAGAGCGTGTAAGAAGCTAATTCATATCATTATTTCAACTACACAGTTCGGTGTCAATATTTTCCATGTGAGAAATGGGATATTAACGATACATGTGAAGAGAACTAGATTCGCCTAACAAGATTTTAGTGACAACGAAATGTATTGACATTAAGACAAACTCTGACTGATTTTTGAATGATGTGTTGTTAGGCTTTTGAATGGCAACGAATTGCAAGGAAAGGTACCAGAGGAGGTTTATTCAGTTGGTGTTCATGGTGGAATTATCGAGTATGTTAATTTCGTAACTCCTCATATAATGATAGTCTCTCTTAATGTCAAATTTAGCTTTTCATTGTCAATGGCTTTGTTCTTTGATCCACTAACTCCACACTCATGACTCAACTAAAATTAAATCTCCATCTTCTTACAGTCTCTCTGGAAACAAAGGGTTATGTGGGGTTCCGTCTCTTCCGTCGTGTCCACTGCTATGGGAGAATGGCCACTTATCCAAAGGGGGTAAAATAGCCATAGCCATATCTTGTGTGGTGATATTCATTCTGGTACTCTTGGTCATTTACTTGTGCTGCATATGGAGGGGAAGACATGATTACGACTTTGCCCCTCCTCACGATCTAACCTGTGAGTAAAAAAAAAACTGCAAAGTTCCTCATAAGTCATAACTGAAGTAACTTTAAAGACATTATCTTGAATTTTGATCTCTCTCTCTTTTGTATGTCTCGCGCAGCGCTTGCAGCAAAGAGAAACAGATACCAGAGGCAGAAGTCGTTAATGCTACTGGAAATGGAGAGCCAACACGCGAAAGGAATGCCCACACTTCCCTTAAATTCGCAATAGCTGAGAAAGAGAGATAGGAAGAGATTTGACTTGGACAGAGATCAAGGAGATGAGATGAGGATTAGAGGTTTTTTCTGTGTAATTAGTATACAAAGCATTACTCCTCAACAAGACCACAAATAACATTTGAAGAAAGGCATTGGATCAAGAGTGTGCAATTCCACAACAACAACAAAAAGAAAGAAAGTAAGAACTTAATCTTCCTTCTTTGTAATATATTTTTTGAGTCTTTTTTAGGTCTGATATGAATTATTAATTGGTAAGTATACATTCTTACTTACGCCCTCCCTTGTATTTTGTGTTGCATGTATCATACCACATTGCTGTTCGCTTTTTTTATATATTTTAAGTTTAACGGATCTCACCATATATGGATCAACCAAACTTGTTTGTACAATGTAAAATCTAAATGGTAGTTTTCTTTTACCGGGTCAGAAACTGAGGATCAAGTTCTAGTTTCTTCAATGTAGATAATTAGTCTCAGTATGTAGAAAGTAAATATTGAAATTCACAACAGTGAAACATCAGATGATACTTCCTTGGTTCAAACTTCAATGACTTTAGAATATGGTAAGACCTGACCTGGGGATAATATGTTTCTTCTTGGTTTATGATGCCACTATTGTATAGATGGGCCATACATATCGGCCCATGACTGTAAAGACAATAATTTTGAGGGAAGTATGGAGATTTTAGTTGATCCAAAAGACAAGGAACACTACTACATTTCACTTTGAGAGATTTTAGTTGTTATCTTTCCAAACAATTCACTGAGACCTAATGAAAATCACATTAGGTGCAGGAAATAATAGAAGAACACTCTTTTAGCCAAAAAAAACCACTATAACTTGAAGTTTTAACCACTAAAACACAGTTGACCCAAAAAAAAAACCACTAAAACACAAACAAAAGTTATAAAGAAAGATCAGCCTTTGGTTTTTTTCGTTATTAATTAAGCATAAAAAAACCAGTGAGCAAATTGCTGAAAATACTTGTAAAGAAAGTGATATTCTCCTGACAAAGATGAGCTGCAATCTGCAAAGTTTGTCAACTGACCCCGTGAGGTGATGATAAGTGACGAACCTTTGTTTTTTATTTTTATTTTGCTTACAAATTTTGTTTTTGTTTTTAATCCACGTTCTGACTTTCGTATATAAACTAGTACGACCCCGAGACTTTTTCATACTTATCTCGATATCATCTCCTCCTCGATGTTGTTTATTTATTATAATAAGTTGTGTTTTCATGGTTTCATATATGACTTCATCATGTTACAGTCTTGGCTCTGGTACGTAACCATCTCTCTCGCTTGGCTTGTAAGGTTTTTTCCTTCTTCTTCTAAAAATTTGACTTGTAACTAATAATACATTTTCCTCTGTAAAGTGCCATTCACACTTCTTCTATTAATTATTTACTTTTACGTTTAATTCTCCCACTTGAAATTGGAATATTTGACGGTGACCAACTGAAAAATGTTGACAGTGACACTGGAGCCTAATTGCATGCAGGTCCCGTGTTAAGGGCAGTAAATATGCCGTGTAGACTAGTGTTTATATGTATAATGCTGCTTTGTACAACTAAGCTTATAGTCGTGTACTGCTTTCTCTAACAATAATCTTATTTCTATATGATGTATATGCATTTCTTTCTTCTTCTTTTTTTAACGGCATATGCGTTTACTTCAGTTTATGAGTAAATTTATACAAACCCCGTCCATGACTTTTTTCTAGGCCTACTTGCTCAACGTAATTTTTTTTTTTTTTTATAAGTTAATATCTTGATTTTGGATTCATAATTTATTTAGACGAGAGACCAAAATAGATAAATTAAGTCTATTTTCTGTAATCGAAATTCAAATTAATGATCTTCGAACTCGCGTCATGTGAAAAGTTCATCATACACAATTTTCCAATGGACTTAGGTCAACCAAATAGAGCTGAGAAAATCAAACTCGTGTTTTAATAATTTGTCTTTGTACTTCTTAAAATAGTTTGAAATGATTATATATCTAATCTTTGTACATATATGTTTCAAATTATAAAACATTACACTAGACAAAAGAATTGAATTAAAAATTGGCAGACAAAAGCTCTTTGAATTTGAGATAAGTTCAAATATGTTTGGTTAACTCTGCTCGAAAATGATAAAGGGCAAAGTTAAGAGATTGTAGTATCGAATAATAATTGAAACATGATATGAGAATCGAATGACATTTGAAATGAGATCACATTACATGTTTTTGTCTCGTGAATGAGTTTTGGCCCAAAATCTCCTAATAGAAAAATAAGATCAATTTAAGAAGATGCATATTATGTGAGACCACATATTGTCTTCACATTCGGTGAAAAAACATTAATCACTCGTCAATCATATCATCAATTTATGATACAGGAGAGGAGCTCCGAATTTTCGTTAGATTCAAATATAGTGTATTCAATTCCTCCACGCTCTTTGAATAACTCAAACTTTTATATATTGAAATTTCTTCTCTATATAAGTCATAAAATGCATCTAGTTATTACTACAACCAACTTGATATGGTCTTCGATTTGAAGTCTTTCACGTGATTCGAGTTTTTATATGTTTAAATTACATAAATTGTATTCTCGTGTTGATTTTCAAATGAGAGTGCACCGCTGGTCTATCTTAGTCCACACGATAAATCTAATGTTAATTAAATTCTGAAGAAAATATTACGTAACTAAGATTGTCAACCAGCCAACAATTCTTTTCAAGTCATTAGAAAGCTAATTGTTGACTTTTTAAATGAAGAAAAATAAGATGACTATAAGTCCCCTTTTTCATCGTTAATAATGCAATGCGCTTCCGTTTTACAAAAAGTAAGGAAAACATTATTGACCAATAAAAAAGTAAGAAAAACATCAAAACGAATAGAGATAATAAGTTCGAATGGAAGTGAAAAAAATACAAGAAAGCCATATCTTCCCGAAATATAATCACATTATATATATACATTGCTGCCTATGTGCTTTAATTAAGCATTAGCGAGACCTCTAACTGCTTTGAATAGAAATGTAATCACGTCAAATAAATCAGTGATCTTCCTTTCTTCTTTTCTTTTTCTAACAAACGTGCCATAATTTTGAGACTGAAACAATATTAAAAATTGAAAATACAGATGTTTTAACTACTATACCACCAAAATAACCAATAAAGACCTGTCGATTTATCTAATATTATCTTAGATGAATCTCTGGACAGAGATATATATTTGGCGATTCTATTGACTTTGATTATATTTGGCAAATCTATTGACTTTGTTGACCTCGATGCTCGTAAGCTAATTGTCTCCGGGTCTTTTGGGTTACTTTGTATAATTATTTTAGTTTAGTGTAACTCTTAATTAATGGACTGGTTTGTTTTAACTAAATGCCCCACTCGTGATTTAGTTATACAAAGATTACGAAATCGACAGAATAAAAAAAATGTAAACTAACGTAATTATGGTTGACATAATTGGTACGTACACAAAAAAAGATTACGAAATCGACAGAATAAAAAATGTCAAAACCAAAAATTACGTCCTCGTGTAAAACTGTAAATGTAACAAAAATACTCAACTTGGGATATCATCACTCATTAGGAGTTTAGGACCTTCGAACTAATGTGATACTTTTGTTTGAGGTAAATGTCATAATATGCCATAGACTTGTACTTATTCTATATTGTATATTATGTAATTATTGCATATGATCCCATCCGCGAAGACATATCTAAATAAATGGACACGTATATCCACACATTATATGTAAATGTGTACAAATACACATCTCTGTAGGGTTAAAGTGAGCAACTAGGGGAAGCAACTAGCAAGAGAAAAATAAAAGCAAGCTTATCTTTACAAACTAGAGCAAATGAAAACTCTGAAATGATATATTTTAAAAATTTATATATACGTATGGCTACATATATATGTTGCTTCTAGAATAAAAAAAAGACAACTAGACTAGTTTCTTCCTAGTAAAATAGGAAGCAATTTGGTTTAAAATAAGTTTATTTTGACTTTTGCAAATGTTGGTTTGTGCGTACCATGTCGGCAGAAGGCAGCCACATTGAATTCACAAAATATGTTTGTTCAAACTTATAATGGCAGAGATTATATATGTTTATGTATATTATTTTTATTTAAACGTCCTAGAATATCAGATAACTGGAGAGATATCTATGTGAATATAAATAGATTAGCAACTAATAACAGCAACCATATGATTTTCACTCGAAAAAGAAGAACATAATTGTCACTTTAATTATTAAACCAATTTGTTATCAAAAAGGTTTTAAACCAATGGCGAGTTGGTATTAAAATAAAAGACAAAGAAAACCAAAGGCAAAAACAAAAGCCAATGGGTTTAAGTAATGTGGCATTCAGGTCGGATCAGGGAGTCCACGTGAATCCCACGTCAAGTAACCAACCAATGGTTGCGATTCTGTTGATAGTAGTTCCTTTAGTATTGGTCAACAAAGGCAGTCTCCTTAATTTTTATTTATTTTCACATGTGTATCTTTATTAGTATTTGTTAAATATTCACCACTATTCTGTAAATATCAAAATTAATTCCTACTATTCTATCTTAGGACAGCCTAAAATCAATATTCAAACAACTTAAAGCTGGCAAAAGAAAAATTCATAATTTAAAAGCTTGAGGGATTGTCGTCATTTTAAAGGGTCTTCTTGTCCTACCTGGCTTTGTTTATCTACTTCTTATTACTTACTGTACCAAAATAAATTACTATTTTTTATAATGACTGAAACAGGTAAAGTCTATTAATTAAATATTATATTGTAAGGTTTCTCATCAAACTCTGTCTGTACAGATATTATTTACGTGTGGTATGCCCCCAGATATATTTGTTTACAATAATATTTTATTGTTTGAGTGAATCATATTTCAAAAAAAACGCATAAAGATCGCTGTAGTGGCATTGTATAGACCTAAGTTTCTAACTTGTGGTGTTACAACGAATAATTATTCTTCGTGTTTGCAAAGCCATCATATTATTATTAGGTTAATGGACAAACAGTTTAATTCCGCCAACTAATAAATTCTTTGTTGCTGAAAAAAACATTTCGCCAAAACACTTAAATCACTTAGGCGTGGTAGCCGTTAAACGCTAGTTACCATCCACTTAACATCTGATGCTTTTTTGAATCTGATAAAATCATAAAAATGGTGGAAATTTGTTTAACGGAAAAATAATTGTCAACTGATCTAAATACCTAATTAATATAAAATTTGACTAATGATCAAAATCCCGAAAAATTCGCCAGAACATATATCACAGTTAGAACTGTATAATACTATTATGTCATAACGTACGTAAGGTGCTGATATGATCGAGAATGTATATAATCCCATGAATTAGGTTTGCAATGATCGATTATTAAAAAAAAAAAAGGTTTCTAGTGGGTTGATAAAATATATCGCAGGCTTAATGCACGTTTTCTTTTATTATTTTTATATGTAAAAATTAAGTCAGGGGGAGCCACACATTAATTTAATGGACCTTGATTAATACTACTTAATTAGTTCTGGTAAGGTGGCCTAAGTTAGGCCATGCATGTTTTTTAATTACCACTCCACTGGATTTAAGTTAATTAGTTAGGCCAACCTTATTATCCCCAACACAAAATACTATAAAGTTAGACAGATATATACATATATATAGATATACCTGTCGGTGTACATATACTCTGTATATATATATATATATATTCTACCAACATAAAGATAAGAATCCAAAATGAACGGCTGAGATGGAATTAGGATATTACTAAATATAGGATGAAGTTTGGGTCCAGACAGAACAAACGGGGAGGATGATAGGTACTGACCTTTTCGTCTAACTACATTTCTTTCGTTGTCTTCCCACTTTTTTTTTTTTTTGGTAAAAATTTTAAGTTGTCTTCCCCACTTGCATTGCATGGCCCAGTTCTTTATTAAACGATGCCGTTTCCAGTTTCACCAAACCCATCTCAACTAATGTATATTGTGGCAATTTTGCATGTTGAATAACACGTAATTAAGTCAACCCATGAGTGTATATTTGGAAAACAAAATTCCACAAAAAAGTGATATTAACTCTCTTTTTTGTTGGTATGACTTTTAGTAAATGAAACGGGCCAACACTATAGTGTTAGGCAAACGCAAATGATTGTTTTGTATATGCATTTTTGTGAAGAAAATAATACGATAAATATATGTTTAGGAAAATAAGGAAAAATTAGGACAAAAGAATGAGAAGCCTACTATCTCTAGGAATGTTGTAAAGTTTCGATATAAGAAGGTCGTCAATGATGTGGATGATAACCAATTTACGTGCGTCATGTAATGAGACGTGATATATAAATCTTCTTATAAAGTAAAGTTTGGCCTGGTAGTACATACATAAAGTTCAAAAATATAAGCTTACTCGAGTGTGGAGAATAATAGTATGATACACTCGCATTGTAAGTATCAATTTAACAATATCTTAGAATTTATAAAGTAGAGATATATATTAGATTATTAGTTACTCTTTTGGGTAAAAATATTTGTTTTCGTTGTTTGTGAACGCCTGAAGGATAATAAAACTGTTAGGTTGGACCGATGTAATGTAACAACTAACAATGATCCACAAACTTTTAATTCTGTTTTGAGCTATCTTTTTAAATGATACCATTAAAAAGCCACAAAAAGTATTAATTCACGGAGTTATAGTTTTGACTAATATACTACAGTATTCGTTTAAAAAAAAGAAGTTAATTTATTTCGTTCTATAAGTCTACTATCGACAAAAATTCAAATACATGTGTAGCATATACTACTAACAAATTTATAAAGATTTGTGATTTAAATCTTTTGTTTTGTTCTAATAAAGATCCATAAAAGTATGAAATCACTGAAAAACTAATATAATTTATTAATGATTGTGCATATTTAAATTATACAATATATATAGACACTTTTACAAAGATAAATTTGGAGGGAACGGTTTCGAAACACGATTGCGTTGTATGTGACCCATTAATCAAATAGTTTAGTGCCTATCTCGGTTTTAACTCTTTAAGATCTTCGTCTTCAATCAGAAGACTTATAATAATTATTTGAGGTAATTGTAAGGTTATTCACCATATATATATATATATATATATATATATATATCCTCTATAAAAGAAGGGATAAGTAGAACTTTCGTTTCAGACAAATGGATAAACATTTGGTAGGACCAATAAAAGAGGAAAAATGAGAGAAAAAACTAAAAAGAGAAGAAATTAGGTACTCTGCTCCGTACAAGAATATTGCTCTGGGGCAATATACGATGGGTTCATCTCCCCTTCACATACAATCATCCTCTTGATCTCCTATGTCCTCATTTTCAAAATCGTTTATATAAGATTTAATTATGATTCATATAACTGAGCAATAATTGTTTCTAAACTCATATGAAAAATGACCGAAGCAATAAAATTCGACGTTTTAAGTTTTGCATTCAAACCAACTGTGTGTAACTTTGATCTCTGATGACGTGGAATATAAGTCTCTAGAAAGGTAGAGAAACAACAATATCTATTTAAACAGAAAAAAAAGGGAAACAGAGGAAAGTTCGATCGATGGTTTAGGAGAAATCTGGTTTTGTTTAGCACAACCAATAAAGCATAGTTCTCGTCCAAAAAGGAACATGAACTAAATTGCACCACTATTTAATAGATATGTATGTTGAGGGTTCGATTGTGTGATTATGAATAGCTAAATTCATCTCTTGTGGATGGTAATTTTTTCTCTGTTAGAAATATGATTGGTGATGCTGTAACACACGAAACTAATGTTTTTTAGTTTAGGAAAATATTTCTGAAAAGCGTGTCTCTCTTTATAACCCAATAATATATAATTGTGCACTTATGTTAAGCTTCATAATCTTCCAACATAAAACAATGGATAATGAATAGATAACTCATGTTTTGGAGAACTTAGTTTTTAGATCTCATCTCACTTTCAAGGTGAGATTCCTAACAAATGATGAAAAAATTGTAGTTTGATGAATCTTATGTTCAAGTTGAAAGAAATAGTAACGGAAAAGCATAGGCTTGCTGGTATAGCTAAGAAAATGCGAGCGAGAGGAAATACAATGTGTAGGAACTAAAAGCCAAGTAAGATTCTTTGTAACCAAAACGGCTCCGTGGAAACATAAGAGAGCCAATGATCATATGTCTCAAACTAAAGCTAACTAACCAAATGCATTATACTGTATGTAAGAGAGAGACACGTCGACACATCCCAATTATGGAATGGAGAATATTAGTTTCAAGAAAAGCTTCAAAAGGGCGGATGCACAGTATAAATAGATAGATACAAAAAAAAAGTGTGGAAGTTCCAAATGTCATGTGAACCCCCTTCCCACTTGGCCCCCTATTCCATCCATCCCCCCCCCCCATCTTTGCTACATTTTGCCCATTATTCATTTCACTTGATCTATCTCTCTTCTAGTCAACTCTACAACAGTATTGTACATATATATCTTGTATGTATGGACCATTTAGGTCATTGGATTAACACACAAAAAAAAAAAAAACTCTTGGAATTAGCCGGACGGTAAAACGAAACGAATTATATAACAAATTAGTAGAATATTTGTTTTCGTAGCCATATTTTCCATTCTCAATGCATCAAGAATCTGATGGCAGCAAGAATCTCATTGCTAGTGTTATAGTCTTTGTCTTTTAGTGAATCTATTTTTGTTTTTTTATGTCTATATGTTCTCAATGCATTTTGATATATAGACGCAACATTCAAGAATCAAGAGCAACCGAATAAAAGGACTAATTACCCCTGCAACAGAAAAATAAAAAGAAAAACCAACTAAAAGGAGAAAAACAAACCAATAATAAAAATAAAAGGCACTAAAATGAGTACGAATGCAAAAAAAAAGAAGAAAAGACCGTATAGCACTAGTACCCATAGTTTTTGGACTGACCCATCTTTCTCTCTTCCCATGAAACTTCCTCTAACTATCATTTCGCCACTCTTGCAAGGCTTGACCCCACTCTTCTGCAACTTTCCCCTTTCTCTCTTTTATTTTATTTTCACTCTGTTTATATATATACATTAACCACATTTTACATTTTATCTCTCTATATCCTATCATATTTTGACAAAACACCAACAAACAAATAATATATCAAAGGGAAACAACATACATGCACTTCCTTGTGTATATATACTCCAACCCCATCTCTTCATAAAGCAAAACAACACAGCCCATTTCTCTTTCTCTCAAAAACTCATTTTTTTTTGTCTTTCGATTCAAACAAAATGGAATACAGCTGTATAGACGACACTACTAGTACCACTTCAGAATCTCTCTCCACCTCCACGCCGTCACCGAAGAAGACGACGGAAAAACTCTCTCCTCCGGCGATGCGTCTCTACAGAATGGGAAGCGGAGGAAGCAGCGTCGTCCTCGATTCAGACAACGGCGTCGAGACCGAGTCACGGAAGCTCCCGTCGTCGAAATTCAAAGGCGTCGTGCCTCAGCCTAACGGAAGATGGGGAGCTCAGATTTACGAGAAGCATCAGCGAGTCTGGTTAGGCACTTTCAACGAGGAGGAAGAAGCCGCCTCTTCCTACGACATCGCCGCTCGTAGATTCCGCGGCCGCGACGCCGTCACTAATTTCAAGACTCCGGCGATTGACAACGACGGTGATGACGCCGAATCGGCTTTCCTCGAGTCTCATTCTAAAGCTGAGATCGTTGATATGTTGAGGAAACACACTTACGCCGACGAGCTTCAACAGAGCAAAAGGAGGTTCCTTGACGGTAACGGTAACGGAAAACGCTGTGAATCGACGACGATAATGACAAGCCCGCACGGAAACGACGGCGTTTTGAGACCGCGTGAGGTTCTGTTCGAGAAAACCGTTACGCCGAGCGACGTCGGGAAGCTGAACCGGTTAGTGATACCGAAACAGCACGCGGAGAAGCATTTTCCGTTACCGGCGATGACGACGGCGACGGCGACGACGAATCCGTCTCCGACGAAAGGTGTTTTGATAAACCTGGAGGACAGAGCAGGGAAAGTGTGGCGGTTCCGTTACTCGTACTGGAACAGCAGTCAAAGTTACGTGTTGACCAAGGGGTGGAGCCGGTTCGTCAAAGAGAAGAATCTCCGAGCCGGCGATGCGGTTTGTTTTGAGAGATCGACCGGACCAGACCGGCAATTGTATATCGACTGGAAAGTCCGGTCTGGTACGGAGCTAATAAGCACCCCGGTTCAAACTGTGGTTCGGCTTTTCGGGGTTAACATTTTCAAACCAAACGACGTCGCAGGAGAGTGCGGTGGGAAGAAGAGATCTCGGGAAGTTGATTTGTTTGCGTTAGGGTGTTCGAAGAAGCAGGCGATTATCAACGCCTTGTGACAATTTCCTTTTTTTATTTAATTTAAAAATTTGTGTCTCTTTTTTCAAATTTTATTAAATTGGCAAGTTGTAAATTAGGACAAAAGACAAGAAAAATGATGACTAGGAAATAGTTTTTGCTCACATCTAATTTGGGTTTGTTTTTCACCCTTGCTGAATATGATGATATTTGTTTTTAGACCTTATCTTATCTTTGTTTTTGGTTATATTATCCCTTTTATTGCATATTTTTCTCAATTTGAAATACAAAAAGTCTTTTGAGTATTTAATCTCCAGCAGATATTTATGCATTTCGTCGTAGCATACATTATTGTAGAAAACATTTTATAAGATCAAGTAGAAAATGTACAATAGTTTAATGTCAACATGTCCAATATATAAAACGTGGGTGGGATACGAAAATCTATTTATGTGGTTGTGATGCTTAAACGGAGTACAACAACGTCGATTGTTCAAAGATTCTGTACGTTTCTTAATCTTAGTTTTAAAACTATTTTCGTGTACGATCCGTGGATAACTCTGACCGAAGATATTTATAACATGCACTGAATCTAAATTACGGTTTTTAGAACCATTGGTGCATGTAACCTATTAATAGAAGTACACCTCGAAGCTTGATAATTATTTGTCTTATGTCTTAAGATTCATGCATCTTATTTATTCCACCAAGTACGTTTACTTGTTTTAAGAAAATAAGCAATAAGATCTTAACGGCTTACACATAATGTTCTTCAATTTCTTCAATTAACAAAGAAAAACAGTACATATAATGTTATGTGGATAGTGGTTCTGATTCATATAATAACTAATTATTGAACAAGCTAAAAAACAAAAAATTAATTATTGCACCACAGATGCATGTATTTTTTTCTTATACAATAACCCCAATTTTCTACTTAACAAACTAGTACGAGACAATTAATGTAACTCAATATATTCATCCTCATTCTAGTGTTGAAAATGATCTATTGAAATTTCTTTTTGAGTTATTGATCTTTGAATTTGTTTTTGTGAACATGCATATTAATAGCTAAAACCTTAGCATAAATGTGTTGTTAATCATTACAACTAAATAATTTTCTGATAAAACTATAACATAGTTATTTTTTGGAACAAACTATAAGTCTATTAGTTAAGTTTTTAATACTTGAATAAACCCAAAAAGTGAATATAGTCCATTTCCGAATTAATTTGTTGAGTTTTGCTCTCGTGACTTAAAGCCCACCGCGGATAAAGCCCATGTTCATGACCAAAAGTCAAATGTTCCTCTGTTTTCGTCTTATTCAATCAGTCAGGTTGCAGTCAAAATACATTGTATATGCCATCATAAATCTGTGAGATATGGATCAAGGGATCCACAAGAAACACCTCATTTCATATAGTAAAACCCTAATTTTAGATTGAGTGGCAAGATTTAAAGACTTACAATTCACTAGGTTAAAGAAGCCAAAGGAAACGCCTAAGAATACTGCTTTGATGCTTGAATCTTTGGGTTCATCAAGAATATACAGCTACGTTGACAAGATTACATCTTTCCATTCAAACTTCTTTGCCTTTGGCGTATGGCATTGATTCGGCCATTTTTAACGATTTTCATTAACTTTCAGTGTTAAGCTCATAAGAAAAGTGGTTCGAATGTTAAACTCAAACCGGAATGCTGACCAAATTGTAACTCGACCGATCAAGTTGGTTATTTCGGTTAGTATCTAAAATATTTGAATTTTTTCCTTAACAATATTTGATGCCGATAATAAGAATTAGAAGGTTAGAGAACTAAAAGAAGAAATTTCTCTCTATCTTAATCATATCATTCATTTCAAAGCTCCATTGTCGTATACATCATTTCAATTATTTCGGTTTCATACATCCAAATGATCTTTTCTTTGATTCGACAAATAATTCTTTCTCACAATTCACAACCGTCGCTACAATAAGTGTTCACAAGAGAAGAAACAAATATATGAACGGAGAAAATTTAATTATTTAACTCTGCAAAAAAAAAAAAAGATAATTAAGGGTTAAAATGGAACAAAGCGTTGTTTTTTTTTACTATCTTTTTCTAATATGGAATCTTACTATTTTTTCTTAATACATTATACATATGCAATATACATGAATCTTTAAACTGACTTTTTTTTTTCTTTTGGTATGGGACGTTCTGATTTTTTTTTTTTTAATGAGCAAAAGGTATGAGACATTCTACGAATAAATCAAATGAAAGGAACAAAACCCATCATAGACTCCTAAAGTCCTAGTCGATTGTAGAAATCGTCTGACTAATTACATAACTGGAATCTCAAGCCAAATATCTGCCATCTCAGAAAATTTGAAGCCCATTAGATGAATGCATTAACGTAATTAAAATGCATTACGTGATACCAAAAGAGTGGTTATTGAATCAATGTAAGTGGATATGCTATTTTTCTTGTCAAGATATGTTTGGTTTATTTAGGGAAGGCTGACAAATGATAGTCGTTGTCTACATTCCCCGTTATCAAGCAACCCAAGAAAAGATTCAACTTTAAATCCAAAATACTATATAATATCTTCATAAATATATAGGAATTTGATGGGTAGTTGAATTTGATTGAGGTAAAGGGAGGGACACTTGGCCTTTAGGAGAAGGCAAGGGTCATTATTAGATGGGTGTTTAATGCAACTTCAAGATATTTGATTCCGATGATTTATTCCTGATTACATGGATCATTGTCTTTAATTCGCTTTTGAGTTCGGATTACATTCTTCAACTTGTATTGAGATAGTAGGATGATGAATGATAAAATAATTTATATTTTTAAACGTATAGTGTCCATATCTCAATATACATTAGTAGGATGAATGAGAATAAATTATGTTTTTTTTGAAAGATGAACAAATTTTATGCTATTTGTTACTAATGAAAAACCGGCTTTTCGGTTTTTGAAAGAATAAAACAGAAGAAAAAAAACTGATAAATGAAAGAAAAATAGGTAAAGCTAAGAGATTCTGTGTTTAATTTTATAATGATTCGATTGTAAACGATGATGATACTAATAACTTTTTTCTTTTCATAAGAAGATAAATTAAAAATGGTAGAGAATATCTAAACTTAGAAAAACAAATGGTAGAGAATATACTTTGGCCAGCACCATCATCATTTCTTAGAAGGTTGTGTTTTCGTAAGGAGTCCTTTTCTCGTGATTATTTAATCAGCTGCAAGAAAAATGCCAAAGGAATTATATGCTTCTTTTTGATATCCCAGGACCCAGAATATTCGGCCACCGGGACCACACAGACCCCTAATTGAAAACAAACGAAGAATAGAATTTTAGAAAACTCTAGCATAAGATAAGACCCCAAGATTATTTGGATTATTAAGAATCTGATAGGTCATGTTATGATTATTTAAATAATCACCGGCTTGAAAATATGATTATGCTTTTCTCTTAAGCGTCTTTTAAACAGTCGTTAGCCCAAATAGTTTCTCAGCAAAATGAATTCATTCTTTACCACGTACGTAGACCATTACTAAAAGCGCGATACTACGTCCTATTTCTACGGCTTTGTGATAAATTATGCAATTTCATGTTTACTTCTAAAATAACAAATTTAATTACCAAATCTGATGTTGAAGTGTATGTTACCACATATTATTTTCTGATATCTCTATCCATATAACGATATTGTCTAGAAATTTCCTCATCTAAAATCAAAATAATCTATTACTATAAAACTTGAAAGATCAAAATTCGTATTTATCATCGTCTACAATTTATTCAAAATTTTTAAAACTAAAAAAAAAAACCTTTCTTGGTTTACAAAACAAATTTAAAAGAAAAAAATTCCGTATGATGTGTAACAATTTATGACAGAGGAAGAAGGTGTGCTGTGTGTGTAGAAGATGTTGTCGGCGATTTGCAACGCCGGCTACTTCTATCTTCCGACGGTGAAGCTAGCGGCGGTTGTACTGCCACAGGAGCGTAAACTCTGTTCGCTGCATCGTGCGACGGCACCCAAATGCCTTCCACAACCATGAATTGCGGTTGCTGTGGATTTTCTCCGCCGTTGGTCATTGCCGGAGTGGCTGGTCTTCTTGTATGCAATCTATATTTCTGAAAATTTTAATGGATTCAATAAAAAATTAAATTTAGCTAATTAGCTCCCAAAAAAGGTAGAAAAGTTTAAAATTTTAGTAGCTCAAAGAACCATGATTAGTGATTAGTGAGAATTAAGGTTAAAAATGTTCAACTCAATTTTGAACAAAATGATGAGTCTATACCTGTAAATGGCTTTTAACTTCGTCATTGGTTAGACCATTAACTTTCATGAGATCTCTAATCTGTTTCGGCGTGGCAACTGCAGATTTGGCAAAAACAAAACCAAATCAAAATCCAATCGACAATTTATAATAAAAAAAAAGTTTGGGAAATGTATTTAATCATACCATGTGATCCTCCTAGCTGCTGAAGCGCGTGCAGAAATCTCCGGTGTAACTCCGGCGACCAGCAACGTCTCTGCTTCCTATGCATTTGCGAGTGTTTATGGTTCTCCGGCTCTCTTTTACTTCCGACGGTTTCCGCCGTGGAACTCGACGTCGTCGGCGTTGGAGTGATTGCTTTTACCGGTTGAGAATCAGCCTTAGCTGCCGCCGCAACCACGGGCTTCTCCTTATGAAACGGTTGAAACGCACCACCGTTTCGTTTACCATCTACCACCACCGTTGTTGTCTGATCCTATTGATCCAGACATCAAACAAATCAGATTTTAAGTTTGGGTTTCTCACAAAATCTATTTTTTTCCGATTCAAAATTTCTCAGGCACAATCAAATGGTTAATCAAAAGTACCTCTTTGGGCTGGTTCCATAACTGAACAGATCTAAGCCAATCAGATTTCTTCTTATCACCATTATTTTCAGCTCCGTCGTCTTTATTTGGTTCACAAGTAGATTCGTGTTCATTGGAAGAAGACGAATTTAACTTGATCGGCATAAACTCTTCAAACACGGCAGCACCGTCGCCGGACTCACTCGTAGTCCGCTCAGAACACTCTGATTGGCCGTGAACTTGCTCCGACGTAGTAGAAAATTCCGATAACTCCTTCCGACACGACTGGATCTCTGTAAGAAATTTATTATAAGAAAAAATGGAATCAAGAAGAAGATAAGATTAAAAAGAAAAGTGGATATTAAGTTACCTTGGGTTACGAGCTCCAGACACAAGGGCAGCTCACGTTGGAAGACTTGGATCTTCTTCTGTTCTTGTTCAAGCGCTTCGACGTAGTCGTGACATCTCTTCATTTTCAAAGTGTAATCCTCCGTGAATCCGATCTTAATCATAGTCGTAAACCGATCTAAAACAACAACTTGGACTGGTTCGGCGATTCGGAGCAGAGAACATAAAATTTTTAGTGAAGGAAGGAAAGAGAAGAGTTGTGAAAGAGAAGAATATTGAGATGTAAATAGGGAGAAGGGAATAATGATAAACTTGTTGCTCAAGTTGGATGTTTTAAGGAGCGAGAGAGATGAGGAGAATTAAGAATCTGAGACATTAAAGATCAAAGTCGGGCCGTCGCATATCTAAAAAAAAAGGATTGTATTTTTTCTTTTGAGATAAAAAGGACAAAAATGTTTATGAAGGAGAATATTTGAATATTCTGGGTATATAATAAAATGGAATTTTCAAATTCCGTCGCATCTAGGTGATAGATTAGGAACTGACGTCAACATTCTCGTGACGTTGAGATAAGAACGTCGACTCATTTAGTCATTTATTACTGAATTCAGAAATTTCTGAATACTGGAATTTTCTTTCGTTTTTTTTTCTCTCCCTATTATAGAAAAAAAACAGGAATTTTCTAAACAAACGAGGGAGAAAATCAGAAGAATGTACGAAATAATAGATTCCATAACGTTGGATATTTGTGTATTCACACCGCAAACTGAGAACATACATGATCCATTTTCCCACTTTTTGTTTTCTTCCTAATTTTGTTTTGTAATTTGTAAATGTGAAAATCTTACTATAACCTATTGTCCAAGTATAGATATATCATAAAACATTTACAGATCCATACTGCATGCTATAAAAAAAATAGATGTATCTTGACTGAATACACAAAGGAAGAATGTGGTTTACATTTTTCTAACAAAGAGAAAGAGAGAAAAAAGAAGAAGAAAAAGTAGTAATTTAAGTCGAATAAGGGGGAGGAATATTCCTTGGGAGGAAGAAACGCACCACACCAAATGGAAGAATCTTTTGGGAGCGTCACATTCACACATTTCCAAGTAAGCCGCGTCGGCGACTCTTGACCCAACCGAGGAGCCAGCCACCTACCTGCCTACACTTACACCAATCCACTCGCGTTTCATCACGCGCTTCAAGTGCGTCCGTCTATTCAACTACTACTGGATTCTCGTGAATCCCTGACAGACCCAAAATGTTTGTTTCATCTTCTCTCTCTCCACTGTCCAAGATGAGAACTACTTGTATGTATGTCTAATCCTCCTATCCACCAATCTTAAGACAAAAATATTTTAAGAAAAGGGCCAAGCGGGCCCATGCCCAAAATTTTCGGACCAATCTTACTTAATTGGGCTTTCACAAATGTCCTCTGGCTCTACCTCTTTAGGCTGCTCAAGTGCTCATACATCTCTGCTTAATATGCTTCCTTTCCTTGCATCAAATTTTCATGGAATCTGTTTTGTTTATCTTACTTACTGACATTGATGACATTGTACATATGAACATGTAGATGTGGAAGATGAAACTTTTCTTTTGTCTTTCCTTCCCCAAGTCTTGAAACTTGCTTCATGCCATAATCATTTATTCACTCACTTTGAATGGGTTTACAAACCCGAACACTAACACGACTAAGAATCCAAAAAATGTTGAAAGAAACAAAAATACAAACGCATATACGAAGAGTGAGTACATTTGCAAATGATATCAAGGTCCCTTATACGTATATAGGTGGCCAGTTTGAATAATAATTTATCAAAAAACAAGTAACAAAAATCCGGTTATTTTAAAGTTAAAATATCCGGTTATTTAGATATAGCAATTCGCGTGATTTTTAATATTCTTTACACAATCACAATTAACAGGGCACACAAAATAAAGAAACCGAACCAAAATCCCAGCGACCAAGTCTTTTGTTTTTGTATATTTCCTTTTGATATTTCTCCATTCGATTTTTCCTTATTTGCCGAAGAGGAAGGAACATTACAAGAACGAGCTAAGATCATATTTCCCGATAAATTCCCGTCAGCGAATCGCTACGCTTAAGAAGATCAAAAACAATTCCAGGCGGCGAAGAGATTGATTTTGATTCACGTCGCAGCTCTCCAAGGTTTCTTAAAGACTTCCGATTATGTCGTCGGAGGTGAAACAGCTGATCGTCGTTGCTGAAGGCACTGCTGCGTTGGGCCCTTATTGGCACACCATCGTCTCCGATTATCTCGAGAAAATTATCAGGTTTTTTCTTACATTCCATTCTCTTCTTCTTCTGTATTGATTTCTCCCACTTTTTTCATTCCAAGTTAGGGTTTCTGATGTTCAATTTCAATCGGTAGTTAATGTTTTTTTTTAACAGGATTTGTTTGTTCATTCGTTTCTGGGTCATTACTGTGTCTATACGATGATGTCTTTTGAGAAATTCCGTGTACTGCTTCCTTTTGTATTTGATATGGAGCCATCTCTTACCCTGTTCCTACATTCGTTTTGATTCTGTGTGAGGATATTTTTTTTGTATACTAAGCATCTATGAAGCAATGTATAAGTAATTTATTACTTCAGTCACGTAGAATTGGTATTAAGATGTTTTTTTAATGGTATGATTACAGATCATGTACAATACAATTCTGCTGTTTAATATCACCTGTACAATTGTAACTCAACATGGTTGTTAATGTTAATATTCACTAAGCAAAGTCTGCTAGCCAGCATCTCAAAATGTGGAGAATCAATGATGATAAGCGAGCGCATTAGAAGGAAAAAGGCTGACTTTTCTATCATATACAAATGATTTTACAGTTATCCTCTTCGCCTGGTTAAGAAGACCTCATAGCACAGTCAAAATAATAAAATGTGTCTTGTTAGTTGGTAGTACGTATTTATGGATTGGAGAACATAGGTTAACTTTTCTTAAATACTGAACATCTTAATCAATCAGTTTAAACGGTTCTCTTTAGTATCTTGGCTCCATGTTTCTTAGTGCATCATAGTCTCTCTTTTTTTAATTAGATAGTCTTTTGTTTTGAGTGTGTTGAAACTTCTGAAATAATATTTTTGGTGGATCGGGCACCAGGGGAACTACTAATTTCTCTGCCTGACATTTTTTGTATGTTAATTATTACTACCCTCATCTGTTAATGCACTTTCTGCGTTTGTGTAGGTCTTTCTGTGGCAGTGAATTAAATGGAGAGGTATGTATTTGACTCATTCTCGTTTTTGAGCAAACTCCAGTTTTCATTTTTTCATCGTTTTGTATTGCTACTTGTACATCACCAAATAGTTTATATTCTAATTGGTAAACAACCGTTTTCTGTCAAATTAAATCGACACGGAATTTAAGAGAGCAAGTCGACAGTTTGATATGTCTTATCCGATGGTTGATAAGTCTTTGTATTTCACTAAACTTGCAGAGGAATGTTGAGCTATCACTGGTCATCTTCAATTCTCATGGTTCATATTGTGGTATGTATTGCACTCCATTTCCGTGATATACACGTACAAACATTAAAAATGGGTGCTTTTTTCCATGGCCATGGTTAATCTGTTTTATTCTGATTATTTCGTACTTCTTAGCTTGCTTGGTACAACGGAGTGGCTGGACAAAAGATGTTGATATTTTCTTGCATTGGCTTTCGTCCATACAATTTGCCGGTGGTGGTTTCAGCGAGGCTGCCACAGCCGAAGGGCTTGCCGAAGCATTGATGGTGGGAAACTTGATCTTTATTCATCTATGACGCAACTAGAAATACATATTATAACCACTGTCTTTCAAGCGACTGTTGACTAGTTTAGTTTCTCAGTGAAACTGTATTTTGTTTCTCCATGGTTTCATTCTATATGGTGCTGCTTCTGTCAGAGATATTTAGATCCTTAAAACCTCACGTTTTTCTTCTGTCTTTCATGACGCAGATGTTTTCTCCTCCCTCAGGCCAAGCTCAACCAAGTAACGATCTGAAAAGGCACTGTATCTTAATCACAGCCAGCAACCCTCACTCATTGCCAACACCTGTATATCGTCCAAAATTGCCAAATGCGGAACGGAATGAAAATGGCGATGCGCAATCTGAAAGTCGTTTATCAGATGCCGAGACAGTGGCATCATATTTTTCTAGGGTACCTTTTCTTGAAATTCCCCATGTATTACAACTTGCTACAATTACTATTTTTTTAATTGGGAATGACTAACCTGCCATATTGGTGTGCAGTGCTCTGTTTCTTTGTCTGTTATATGTCCAAAGCAGCTTCCAAAGATTAGAGCACTCTACAATGCGGTAAGACTGCGTGTCTATTTGCAATTGACTAGATGCTCGCATAGCATAAGTGTCTCTTTCAAAGCTCTTTATTTTCAGTGCTACAAACTGAAGTAAGATTATTTTATGAGTACTGTTAAGAGTTTTTTCTTTTAAACGCAGGGAAAGCTCAATCCACAAAGTCCGGACTTGTCAATTGACACGGTTAAGAACACATTCTATCTTGTCCTGATCCCAGAAAATTTTGTGGAGGCACGTGCTGCCTTAAGTCATTCTGCTACAAATTTGCCACAGACCCAAAGCCCTGTGAAAGTCGACAGGTCCACTGTTGCTCCATCTCTTCCAGTCACTGGGCAACCTCCAGCTCCTGTGCCATCAGGTTCAACGTCTAGCCCTTTTTTTAAGTTAAACTATATCGCTCTCTCTTTATGCGTCTTTCAGATTTTAGCCTGCTTCTTTCTTGTGAAGATCTCTTTTTGTGTGAATTTCAGCCAATGGACCTATTCTTAATCGGCAGCCAGTATCTATTGGACCAGTTCCAACTGCTACTGTGAAAGTTGTAAGTCTATTTGATCTATTTAGTCAGTTAAAGGAGGCAGCTTTATCGGCAACTAATTCGTGTTTGTTTTATAAAAACTATATACTAATTATAAATCATAAAGAGATTGTACAATTTATTCTATGGTGCTTGATACGATATTTAAAAATATTGTTTTAGTTTTCGTTAAATTGATTTAATGTTATCTTCTTTTGAAGATCCCTTATAAATATCTTGTATACTGAATCAACTGATATTATAGAAATATATCAATTGGATTTATTTTGGATTAAATTTCAGGAGCCTAGCACTGTACCTTCTATGGCAGCAGTTTCAACTTTTCCCCATATCCAGTCTGTAGCTCGGCCTGCTACACAAGCAATTCCTTCAATTCAAACATCTTCACCGTCGCCAGTTTCTCAAGAAATGGTCACCAACGCCGAGAATGCTCCTGATGTTAAGCCTGTGGTTACTGGAATGACGCCACCGTTGCGCACTGGTCCTCCTGGTGGAGCTAATGTAAATCTGCTGAATAATCTTTCTCAAGTTCGACAAGTCATGAGCTCTGCAGCTCTGGCGGGTGCAGCCTCGTCGACTGGGCAAAGTGCGGTTGCAATGCACATGTCAAACATGATATCAACAGGAATGGCTACATCTCTGCCTCCTTCACAAACTGTGTTTTCCTCTGGACAGCAGGGAATTACTTCAATGGCTGGTTCGGGTGCACTAATGGGAACGGTACAAGCGGGACAAAGCCCTGGTCCTAATAATTCCTTTAGTCCGCAAACTACGTCAAATGTTGCTTCAAACCTTGGTGTTTCTCAACCGATGCCAGGGATGAACCAAGGAAGTCATTCTGGAGCACAGATGATGCAAGGTGGAATCCCCATGAATCAAAACATGATGAGTGGTCTCGGTCAAGGAAATGTATCTTCTGGAACAGGTGGAATGATGCCTACTCCAGGAGTTGGGCAACAAGCGCAATCAGGAATACAACAACTTGGTGGCAGTAACAGTTCAGCTCCTAATATGCAGTTGTCACAACCATCATCGGCGGCTCTTCAGACTTCACAAAGCAAATATGTAAAAGTCTGGGAGGTAATGCAAGTTTAACTCGTCTGAAAGAGAGGTTGTCTTGTGCTAATTTAACATACGTTTTCTGTTTCATATAGGGGAATTTATCTGGGCAAAGACAAGGGCAGCCTGTTCTTATCACCAGACTTGAGGTGTGTTTAGGGCACTGACCTCTTCTTTCCCCCTTTATATGTTTTGCGGGATCACATGCTTGCTTAATACTTAAGCACATCCTTATTTTCCAGACATTTGTTGAGTTGCTCCTAGCAAATGGTAATGTCTTTGTTTATATTTGACAGGGCTACCGAAGTGCTTCTGCCTCTGATTCGTAAGTTCACAACTAATTGATATACGAAAATTGCTTTATTAACCCTTGTCAAGAGGTCACCAGGTTTCATTTGCAGTCGACGCCTTGAGAAATGATTGCAAATGCTAAAATATTTTTTGCTTTCTCTTTCCCCCAGGTTGGCAGCAAACTGGCCACCAACTATGCAGATTGTTCGTCTCATATCCCAGGATCATATGAATAACAAGTACAATCTTCGTGCTATAGCTCTCCTTATTTCCACTGTTTTCTTGCCTCTAATTTTTTCATCGAACTTTGCATCAGGCAATATGTTGGCAAAGCTGACTTCCTTGTGTTTCGGGCAATGAGTCAACATGGGTTCTTGGGACAACTTCAGGATAAGAAGCTTGTGAGTCTTGTTGATATTTTATGATTTATCCCAGTTGTTTCTTTTTTATATTACTCGTTTATTCAAATTCAATAGCAATATGGTGACTGGTTATTGGTTTAATCGATATCAGGCCGACATATATGTTCAAAATGATATAGTATATATTAACTTTCATCTGTAAACAAGTTCTCCGTGAATCTATTAATCTTTTGACCATATGCATTATGGCTTCTACACTCGTCCCCTTGTTTTATATGATAACTGTGTGTTTACTCTCAAGTTCAGTGTGCAGTCATCCAGCTGCCATCACAGACGCTACTTCTCTCCGTATCTGACAAGGCTTGCCGTTTGATTGGAATGCTTTTCCCTGGGGTAAGTAAGCACCAAGTTTTACCTAGTAAGGTGTCTATAGATGATTCACTTCACATGTACCCATTTTTCTAGTGGCTCTTGACTTCTTATTTCCAAAACTGATAGCTAAAGGAGCATGTCTAATCCATCTTGCACCCACTACTCTCTCTATATATCGGTTTGATATAAAGAAACACAGGTAGGACTTACAGAATTGTTTGTTTATCTGTGGTTGTTTCCTCCCAGGATATGGTTGTGTTTAAGCCGCAAATTCCAAATCAGCAACAGCAGCAGCAACAACAGCTGCAACAGCAGCATCAACAGCAACAACAACAACAACAACAGCAGCAGCAACAGCAACAACAGATCCAGCAGCAGCAGCAACAACAACAACACCACCACCAACAGCAACAGTTGCCACAACTCCAGCAGCAGCAGCAACATCAATTGTCACAGCTCCAACATCATCAGCAGCAACAGCAACAACAACAACAACAACAGCAGCATCAGTTGTCACAGCTTCAACACCATCATCAGCAGCAACAGCAGCAGACGTCTCCGCTGAATCAGATGCACCAGCAGACTTCTCCTCTGAATCAGATGCACCAGCAGACGTCGCCGCTGAATCAGATGCACCAGCAGACGTCGCCGCTGAATCAGATGCAGCAGCAGCAAACACCTCAACAGATGGTTGGGTCAGCAGCAGTAATGGGTGGTCAAGCTTTTGCACAAGCTCCTGGAAGGTCACAACAAGGTGGTGGTGGCGGTGGAGGGCAGCCTAACATGCCAGGAGCTGGCTTCATGGGATAACTTTGAAATAACTCTTCTTCAGGTTTCTGCTTTCTGCTAATTAGTCTCAATTCATCATATAACTTTAAGTTCTTTCTTTCTTCTATGGTCAATTCGATAAAGGCCATGGTTTCTTAGACTACTATTTAGATCGTGTCTTTAGTCTATCTGTTCGCTTTCTGCCTGAAAATGGCATCCTCTTGTTGGTCTGACCATTAACTACGGCACCGAACTATTTTGAATTTTTTTTTGGTCTAGAGAAATATATATTAAAAAATTGTGCTTTATCTCTATTTTTTGTTGTTTTGTCAGGCTGCTAAATAAAAATCTCTTAGCTCGCTTTTATCTGATTGATAAGGAAATAGAGGATCAAACCATGTCTAGGTCTTGATTGGACTAGGTGTTTGTTTGCAGCTATGAAAGATACATTTTATATCAATTCTATAATTCTCTCTGTTTCTTTTAACAAAGTTTGCAAAGGTTTATGTTAATAAAAATCGATAGTTTTCTTGAACTTTGTCTACCATTTTCACAATTACATCATTGTCAAACGAATATATTTTTAAAATTATCATTTTTATTGGTTCTCTTTCTGCTTTAGCTTCTAGATCTTATTCCAATTATCATTAATATATTTAGTTACAAATCACAAATCTAGCTAGTAGCTCTTGTTTTGTAAAGTGCATTATTTTTATTTGGAACTGTTACTATTTAAAAAAAAAAACTATTGATAAGTTGTCTGAAAACAAAAGTGGAAAACTTAATTATTGATACTGATAAGACAGAGTAACTATGACGCGCACTTAGAAAAATGAAATCGACTGCCTTTTTGAAACGAAGACGACAAACCTGACTTCTCTTCTCCACTCTTGAGTCGAGCTCATTTATTTTCATTGTCCAAAACCAAGGTGAATTTTACTTCAGGACCTCTTCAGGTGGGTGGGTCCTATTCACGTGGCACATAAAATTTTGATAAAATATGGTAAAAAACTTTGTACCAAATTTCAAGCCATGATACGATTCAACGCACCCATTAGATTTTCTCAATCGAATCATGGGAACATAACCAAAGGCCCTTTCTTAAAAGATGATCCCAGTGAAAGAAAAGCCAGCACTGAACTTTTTCTCTGTATTTTTAAATTCTCTCATAAGCTTGGACTTGAGCGTAATGCACCAAAAGCATAGATGCAATTTGATAAAATATAGAACCTAAAAGCTGATTTTCAACATTTCTGCTTTTTATAGCTAATACTATTCTAAATAGGGACACTTTAACTCTTTGTGGGTGTAGTTGGTGGCCTGCATCACTCTTTAATATATTTTCTTAGAGGTTTTATTCTCCTAATAAATCATATTTAAATTGACAAGTAAAATACATTTTTCAACAACTAATCTACCGTAACGAAGAGTCTAAATACCTTGGATTGTGAAAGATATTGAACAAAATGAAACGTAAATGGCATACTAAAAACTCTAAAGTTTCTTATTTTGTTTGTATGATTCGTCTACATGCTCTCTATCCAACGTAACCATTTAGAACCTAAGTTATGACCGCGTTGGAGAGAAGAACAAAAATGTCAAAAAGTATATGAAGATAAGATGTTTATTAGAAATCTCACTTTGGTTACAAATCGGTATATTTGTATTGCCTCTAATTGTGCGAGTCTTGTGGTAATATATTTATCATTTATGTATCTTTCGATCTTTTACTCGTATCTTTTTTTTTGGGGTGGAAAAACTCTTACTCAAATCTTGGATTTGACAATTTTACACGTTTCAAAATTTGATCAAACTTTAAAACTTTAAATGATCACAGTGCGGAAATAACAAAGTTCCTTTACGTGAGTAGCCGATATAAAATAAGCCGGGAAAAAAAAAACCCAACACCGTGCATTTAATTTAGGTAAAGATCTTTAAAAAGATTACATAAACATTATTTATTCATTTATTTTGTAACATAAATAAACTTTGTTTGGACAAACTTGAAACACCACTTAAAAGCTTAAGAGTTCTCCATACAATTTGAGGGAATTGGGATCCATCTCACTGTACTGCAAGAAGACACACAATGGTCTCTAATTCTTCTGTTTCTCCTTCTAAGGTCTTCCTCCATAATTATTCACCTTCTCATTTACTTCTTTCTTTTCCCTTTTTTTTTTGGTTTTCTTATGTTCATTAGTTTGTGTTTGCAGGAAACTGATCGGAAGTCCGACGAGAAATGGACGGGGAGAGATCCATCACGACCAGCGAAGTGGTGGTACTCCACCTTCCACACCGTCACCGCCATGATTGGCGCAGGAGTTCTCAGCCTCCCTTATGCCATGGCTTACCTTGGATGGTACTATTTTCTTTAATCATATTTACAAACTTAATTTTTATGCCATAAATTATGTTTTTTCTTTAAACCAGGAAATTTCTAGATTTGACTCATAATTTCTACCGGCCATCGACCAGAGCGAGTTGATTTAGTCTCCGGTGGTAAATAAGTTTTTATGTGTGTATAACTTGAAAAACAAACGACATAAGGACTAATTGTGGTCACTAAAAGTTTAAAACTAAAAATCATGTAAATAAATGGGAATTCACATGAGGGATCTTTGTAATACTTTTCGTTTGAAAATCCATTTTGTTACTTTAAGATGATAATTTTTAGCTAGTTGCAATTAAATTCAGATGTAAGAAGATTCAGTATATGTTATATAGGCCTAGTAGTATATATATGTAAAAAAAGAAGAAGCAAAATGCACTTTAAGCTGATGATTTTGAACTAGTTGTAATTAAATTCAGATATAAGAAGATTCATTTACCAGGTGAAAAAAGAAGAAGCAAAATGCACTTTAGGCTAATGATTTTGATCTAGTTCACTAGTTGCAATTAATTTCAGACATAAGAAGATTCATTGAACATGTAAACAGGAAAAAGAAATCCCAAAAGAGAAAGAAGAAAGAAAATGCATCTTTTACATTTGTTGGTTTGAAAAATAAATAAAAAAAAAGTAAAAGTGACGTGTGTTGAAATACAGGGGACCAGGGACATTGATGCTGGCCCTTACATGGGGACTGACTCTAAACACGATGTGGCAAATGGTGCAGCTCCATGAATGCGTACCAGGAACCCGGTTCGACCGGTATATCGATCTAGGCCGGTATGCTTTTGGCCCAAAACTCGGCCCATGGATCGTCCTCCCGCAACAGCTCATCGTCCAGGTTGGGTGCTGCATTGTTTACATGGTGACTGGTGGCAAGTGCATTAAGCAGTTCGTGGACATCACGTGCTCCACCTGCACTCCAGTGCGACAGTCGTACTGGATCCTCGCCTTCGGTGGGGTCCACTTCCTCCTCTCTCAGCTCCCTAACTTCAACTCCGTCGCCGGCGTCTCATTGGCTGCCGCCGTCATGTCCCTCAGGTCACTCCTCTCTCACGCCTTATCATCAACACATTATCATTTTACCATTTTACACATTACATATTTACATTCTATTTGTTACATCTACATCGCTATTTTCATTAAACCAAAAAGAAACAGACAGTGTTTAAATTTGGAAAGTTAACATGGAAAGACATTAATTAAGTAGTAACAAGAGTGCTACAACTATTCCATTTTTTACAGGCCAAAATTAATGGTCTCTATAATTATTTGCTCTAGATTATGTTTTGAATAAATGAAGATCTACAACCATACGTTGAATAGCGCGCGTGTCAGTAGATTATCATGCATTTAATTGTTCTTTTCGTTTGTTTTTTTTTGTTTACACGTAAATTATTCAATGTATTATAAACACTACTTATTATTAAGTACCTAATCCAGTAAATCGAAAAATGTAAGCGCAAACAAAAACGATGACAGTTTTTAAAAGCTATTCTCATTAATATTTTGAATTATATATTTTTAAATATAAAATACCTTAATTAGTTAAAGCAATGAAACAGTGGGATTTGTCATAATTTGAAAGAAATAAACAAAAAATTGCCTTAACTCATAACAAAAACGTCATACAATGATTATCATTGACTAGAATGACTCAGTCCATGATAATTTCAAATAATTAGTGTGTACATTAGTACATCTACCAGAAAAATTATAACTAGGTCATGATGAATTGTTTGCGATAAATGTTTTTTTTTTTTGGTACTGTAGTTACTCGACGATAGCGTGGGCAGGAAGTATCTCACATGGAAGACTTCCTGACGTGAGCTACAATTACAAGGCGACGAATCCAAGTGACTTCACGTTCCGAGTCTTCAATGCTTTAGGTCAGATCTCATTCGCTTTCGCTGGTCACGCCGTGGCTCTAGAGATTCAAGCCACCATGCCTTCGACTCCTGAGAGACCATCGAAGGTGCCCATGTGGCAAGGCGTGGTCGGAGCTTACTTTGTCAACGCAATTTGCTATTTCCCGGTCGCTCTAATCTGCTATTGGGCTTTTGGTCAAGACGTAGACGACAATGTGCTGATGAATCTACAGAGACCAGCTTGGCTCATTGCTTCTGCCAATCTCATGGTCGTTGTCCACGTCATCGGTAGCTACCAAGTGTTTGCTATGCCTGTCTTTGATCTTTTGGAGAGGATGATGGTTAACAAATTCGGTTTCAAGCATGGAGTTGGTCTGAGGTTTTTCACTCGAACTACTTACGTCGGTAAGTTTTTTATTTTCATTCTTCATGATATATAAATAAATAAGACTAATGAATAATCTATTCATAAATTGATTTGATTTTTTTTGGCAGCATTTACATTGTTTATTGGAGTGACTTTCCCCTTCTTTGGAGACCTTCTAGGGTTCTTTGGAGGATTTGGTTTTGCACCCACTTCCTTCTTTGTAAGTCCACTTTGATGTTCCTTCTTCGTTGTTATGATGAAGACAAGTCACTAATAATTATTTTTATGGATATTCTAATGATGCCGTAGCTCCCAAGTATAATGTGGCTTATCATCAAGAAACCAAAGAGATTCAGCATCACATGGTTGGTCAATTGGGTAAACATCTATATTTACATTTTTTTTTTACCATTCTTATTTGTATTATAATATTTTGAAGATGAACTATGTCTAGATAGTTGATCTAATATCTTTGGTTTATTTGTTTGGGCAGATCTCTATTATCGTAGGAGTGTTCATAATGCTGGCGTCAACAATTGGAGGACTGAGGAACATCATCGCAGATTCCTCTACTTATAGTTTCTACGCTTAATATATACTAAATAGATCTTGTACACTAAATTATTGATCACTTGATCATCTAATTATAAGTGTAGGAATAAACCATATTAATGGTCGTGCTGTATCAAGTTAGAGAGAAATATAAATCTTCTACTTAATCATTCAATAAGACATATTGTTAGTTCCACATTGATCTTCCAAAATGACATCATTCATCCACACTTACTGTTGATAACGAACTAAATCTGTAGATGAGCAAACTTGGATTTTATTAGATCAATTCAAGAATACAACTGAGTTCGGTTGGATAACGAACTAAAACTTATGAAACTAAGAAGCTAAGGTGTTGAGTTCTCAGTCTCTAAGTCTCTCTTCGATTTCTTTCCTCTTCTGGTATCGATTCCTCTTCTTTTATATATGTCTTCTAAGTCGGTCTTCGCAAGTCTTCTTCAGGATATGGGACCGAGAAGACTTTCCTTTTTTTTCGGTCATTTTCCTTTTCTTTCGACAATTTTCTTTCTTCTCGGCAATTTCCTTTTTTTCTATTCGGAAATTTTCCATTTTTCTCTGAATTCAGAGAACTTCTCGGTTCCTTTGAGAAACTTCCGACCGACTTCGGCTTATTGGACTATGTTTGGCCCAAAAACTTGCTCGGCCCAATGTTCCCGGTATAGTGCCTTTGTAAACCAGGCTTACTTCGTGTCGATTTTGGTTTGTACCAGAAAAAACCGGAGGTGCGGTTTTCACCTCCAACACTTATGCTGTTATTTCAAATTTTGTTAGAGTGTCCATATTGTTTGCTTCAACCACATATGACATTCCTTCAAGGTGAAATAGACTGAAACCTGAATCCTTCAAATTTTAACATACGATAATTTTGTTATTTGGTAATAAAACAAAACCATATTTTGTACCAGGTTGAATCAATTCTTGCACACTGTTCTCATCTTTTCATATGCATTTACATACGACTTCAAAAACATATACATTAAAAAAAAAATTAACCACAGATTACCTTATTAAAGTCAGATGGTTGCTTAAACCCATTTTTATATTTTTCACTCAAAATAATATTTTGTAACCATTTGTGTTGTAAACATCTAATATCAACATTTAGAAACTATGGATAGTAACGTTCTGTCATGTTCAGCTCACCAATGGCGAATCTAATAAAATATTTTATAGGAGTCAATTTATCATCATAAGTTGTTTATCTTCTATGTATTATTTTAAATACATTTCAAACTTTTATAATCTTATCATTATATATTTTCAAATATATATATGTATATATTTATAAGGAGTGTTATTGATTGTATAAGTTGAAATCAACAAATCAGATTTGAAAAGAGTAGCTTATTTAGAATTTAAGGTATATGAATTATCTAAAATTTTAAATTATTTGGCAGTGTATATAAAAAGTCAACATAATACCATTTGAATTCTAATAGAATTGAACTCCATAACAAATTAAAAACAATTAAAATCTACATAAGAAACATGAAATTAATTTCAAATTTAGTCAGACTTCTTTCACATCAAATCAATTGTAATAATCTATATATATAAAGTAAAATTTTATTTCTTCTCATGATGCCACATCATTTTTCTCAAACTCTAAAATTTTGACACATCATCAATTCATTTATTAATTTATAATTTATTATATTTTATGTTATTATACTTTAATACTCATAATAACTATCATCCATTAATATAACAAGAATATAATATTATTTTAAATTATTTACTTTATTTATATGATTCAATAAATATGTATAGTAAAACATAAAATTTTAAGATAGCCAGATTTGGATCCAGTTTTGTCAAATCCGAAAAACAAATTCTCGGATCCAATTTTTTTAATATCTAAAAATATCTAAATTCGTTTTAAAACCGATATAAAACACTAGAATATAACAAAAGACAGAAATTTAAAGAAAATTAGAATATTATATTATAAAATTAAAATGCATATAGACGGGTTAGGAATATTTGCACGAGTTTCAAAAAACTCAAGTGACAATTTTATCCTTCTCTATTTTAATTATTTTTGTTATTTGTAATAGAATATCATGTAATAATTTACAAAATAAAATTTATTTTTAAAATGACTACTTAAATAATAATATAGAGACGTGAGAATGCATATTTGTGAAACAAATTGTGGTATCACAAAATGTTAACATGTTCAACCTAATCTTTGAAACATAAAATGGATGAAGTTCCCCTTAAAAAATTATACAGAGCTCAGGTTAGAGATGTGACATTGAGAGTGACTAGAAAAAAGAAAAACCTAAGAAATATAGAAATTTCAACCGGTCCAATATGTTGTGTGTGGTTCAACATGTTGCATTGATGAGAGAGGGAACTTGAGAGGAAAAAAGAGAGTGAAAGGGAAAAGGATAGTGAGAGGGACATGGAGAAGGAGAGGGAGAAGGAGATGGAGAAGGAGAGGAAGAGAGAGATGGAGAGTGAAATGGGTGTAGAAAAAAAAAATTATGAATATATTTTGAAATATGTTAGGGAATTGAGATAATTTTAAATAATTAATTGTCTATTACATATATTTTTTTCCTGAATGCAACAATCAAGAATTGTATATGTTTTAAAATCATAAACTCGCATAAATATAAAGATATCGATAAACTAAATTTGATTTGAATTTTTAATTGATATATTATTTGATTATTTTTTAAATATTTTATATAAAATTATTTTAAACTATAAGTATATATAAAAAATTGAAATACAAAATCTAATGAAAAAAATTGATATTGTAGAGTTTTCTCTTAAATATGTCAACAAATACAATACAAAATTCCGCGCGAAGCGCGGATCAGCTGCTAGTTTGTTAAAATGAATAAAACTTTAATTAGTTTATTCAAATCTTTAACTAAATAATAATGGATTTCAAACTCTGAATATATTGTAAATATAAAACTCAATAACAATAAATATTTATAAAAGATTTAAAATTAATCATTGAATAACAATGAGTAGTGGATAGATTTAAACTCTATTGAAAACCATGACTAAATGATATCCTTGTATATGTGTAATAAGTCAATTGTTTTTAAACTTGATTATATAGTACTATCAAATACAAGATAAAAAAATAGATTGAATCAATGCATTATAAAAAAAAATTAACTTCACATATAATTTTGAAATTTCATTGTTTATGTTTGAAAAAGTTATTTCTTAATTAATTTTAATTAAAGATGATTTTTCTGTATAAATAATTAAGTTGATCGAAAAGAGAGAATCTCTTTGAAGTATAAATTGGAAGAAAGTTAAAGAAGTTATATATCATAATCGACCCAAAAAAAGTTACGTAACATGGAAATTGTTTCTTATTTTTCTAAATCTTAAAGATCACTTAAATGAGTGACAATGCAAGTAACCATACTACCATTATGTTATATTACAAGAAGTTAAACATGAATATTAAAAATGTAAAAGGTGTCATTTGACCCTTATCATTAGGCATGGGTCCACCTCTGCAGCTCTCCCTAAAAACCTGCATTTTTCACAAACTCAATAGAGTAAGAAGACTATCGTCTAAATGAATTTGATGAATATAAGAAATATATTAGGATTCAGAACTTATACCAGGAAAGAAGGTTTGTGAAGCATTAGGCCTCAACAGAAGTAAGAAACGATTGGATGCCAAAAATAATGAAAAGCATTCCACCAGAAAGAGCAACCTGCAACAACAACAACATTAGACGATCCGAGTTTAATTCTCTGATGAGTCTTTATCTCAAAATGTCAAAAGAGAAAATGAGAGATATTTACTATTCGTTCAGATATCTGAGACGCTAAGCTCTTTCCTCCAATCACAGCAGCAGTAGTGCACAATAGCTGTGCCCTGCGTAGGTAACAGATAAATCAGCAACATTGATTCAAACATATAATTATGTGATGCAGACTCAAACCGATTGTAGCGGTTTCACAGTGAAACTTACACAACTCCACCAAGGACCACCCCGAGAGGATTTTCATCCGCGGCTAAACCAATTGTAGCAAGCTAGAAATAAGAAAGAAAGGAGTTATGGTGGGCATGTGAAGCTTTTAGATTGAATCAATCGGGCAAGTGAGAGCTACCTGACTCTTGTCACCAAATTCACCAAAGAAATTAATCGAAAATGCCTGCAAGAAGAGAGGGAGATATGAAACTTATTCATAAAATTCTAGTGAGTAGAGATTAAGGAAGGATCTTTTGTTTTACCTTGAGAAAAATGGGAGAGAAGAATTGTGTGAGGAACGGCCTCTTCTGCTTTTTGTTTTCATCTTCAGTCTACAATGACAACGAATGGTTTTGTTAAAACTTAGCAGAGGCAATTCTCACACGCAACCCATGATCTTGTTGTTTTAGTTCCATACCTTACTGCTATCTTTTGAAGTTTTTCCATTAGCCTTCAAATCAGAATCCTGTGATAAACACACAAGAAAGTCAAACCACAAAAGCATTGAACCAAACGTGAGAATGAGCGTGCATACAGGCGAAACAAACCAGTTCTGCTTCGACTTCAGCCAATTCTTCTGAACCCCTGCCAACAAAGTAGAATCAGACAACATGAATTTCCTGGATGTCAATATACATCCTCATGACATCAAAATAGTTGATGAAGAAAATTATTACCCTCCTCCTTGTTTAAAACCGTCCCACAAAGACCATAGTCCGAAACCAAAGAACAAAAATGTTGTTATGTGATGAGTCCATTTGCGAGAGATCTGCAATAAAGGGTTTGAATAAGCATTCAGTAAAAGACTGAAAATTTGCATCACAAAGCGGACTGGTGAAAAAAGCTATATCAAACTACGATCTATATTCAATAAAAAGCATTACAAAAGTCAAAGTTCATACCAGATTTGGAGCAGCCCATCCAACGGTAGCAGAGAGGATAGTCATGACCTAAGAATTAGCAAAGACATGAGCTTCCAAATATCGAAGAGAGGTCACTGAAACCAGTAGTCAAATGGACTCAGGAAAGCTTACAATCAGGGCCGATACACAACCAGCCAACACAAGTCTCCTAGGATAACGCATCGCCAGAATCTGTTTAAGTAAAAAGCGACTAAGCTTACAAATCATAGAAGCATCACACTATCAAACTACCAAAACACTATCGAACTAAATGGGAATATAAAAGCTTATGGGAAGCTCCTCTAACTGGACACAGATTCATTCATATATGTAACAAACTGAGCAAAGAAAATAAAAACACGAACTTTACCAATGAACAAAGGATCTCAGCAAAAAGTAAAAGCAGTTATAGCATCACCCAGTTTCAAAAGTTCAGCTAGATTTAAAATTCCTTTAAAATTAGGAAAAAGCAAATCCCATAAATAGGAATTTAAAGCTCTGATCATCACGCCCAGATGGCAGATGCAAAATTGTTTCAGAACAGGATCAAACTAAGTAGTTATTGACATCTTCGACCTTAAACTCACCAAATTACAGAAATTGCTAAAGAAGAACACTTACCGCAGCAGCGAAAAACGTTTTGTCGCCAATCTCCGACACAAACGTCATGGCGAGTGACTTTGTAAAACCCTATAAAACCCATTAATCGTAAACCCAAATTAGCTTCCACGACGATCCCCAGAGAAAAAACCGAGTTTCTGTAAATAGATATCTTTTACTGTACCTGTAAAACCGAGCTCATAGCTGCCGAGTTGAAAATCGACAGCGAATCAGCTATAAACAAGTCAACAAAATCCGAAACTCCCGATCTTCTCCGGATGAAACAGAGTCAACGGAGCGAACTACAGCCGGAATAATCAAACAGTCGGCGAAAGAGAAAGAGAGCACAGAGACGACACTCGGAGAAGAGAGAGCTTGGACGAAAGTATGCTTTTTTTAGAGCGAAAGATGAAAGCTTTTTATTTGGGGGCTTTTGGGTGAGAAATTTATTCGGATTCTTGAACACTTGAGATAGTGCCACGTGGATTGATAACAGCCAACGATTTAGTAGTGTAGGACCCAGGAAACCAAAATTGACTTTTAAAAGATGCTAATTTGTTCCTTTGGTATCGTCACTGTGCCCGCCCGAGTAAAGGATAAGACTTTACTGCGGTGATGTATTGTCGCAGTCACCGATAAAGACGTCACTTTGGAGAGAATAATATGTGTTCGGTAGATTTGTCAGTTTTTAAGAGCTGTCTAAAACTGATTGGAGATGAATCTATTCGTGTTAATCGCAACTAATTTTAAATTTGGTCTTATCGCAACTAATTTTATATAGTTTAATCTGAAATTGACCAATTTCTGATTGTAGATGAATTAATTCTCAAAGGCATGTAATTTGATTCGAATTGATTCTCAGAGACACGTAATTTGATTCGAATTGATCCTTCTAGATATTTTAAAGTTGGTTTTATTAAGTTGGTGACCATATAGTAATGCCCCTGTATAAATATATTTAAACGGGACGGTATCAAAGATTAAACTTAGAATGACGTTGATGAGAACAAAAAGTCAAACTGAATATATATACAAGGGTAATATGATGTAGACTTGTAGTACATAAAAGGGCCCAAAGTTATCAAAGGAACCGTTGCGTCCAAATAAAAACCCTAAACAAAGTAGACCAAGAGGCCCATGAGGGACCATGATCTCAGATATTCAGCTCAGCATATTCCTCCACACTGTAAGTGTATTCTAGATGCATATGAATGTTTTTTATATACGAGTTTGGAGATACAGCTTTTTTTTTTTTTTTTTTTTACTTTCTTAGCTATGTACAATGTTTAATACCATATAGTTATACATATTATATGCCTATTTCTCAGAGATTCAAATGGATGAGCTGTGTTAGATTGAAAAAGTCGCCAACAAAGCTAAGCTCACTTGCCAAAAACACTCAAAAGTGGCCGAGTTCTTAAAAATAAAGAGGGAAGATGAAAAGTGATGAGATTCTAAACAAACATTACTAATAAGAGCGACACTAAGCGCATTGAGATCATAAAACAAGATTAATTAATCTTCACACTTAAAGACGATGAAGAAACCTCCTCTTCCCCTTAAAACCATTTTTATCTAATCTTTTGATTCTTAAAGATACTCATATAAATCTCCTTGGAATCTGCAAAACCCCCAAACATCTTTTTCTTTGTTTAAAGAAGCTTTTGTCTCATTTTCTTCCCCTTCCCCCACCACAAAACTCACTTTTGTCTTCTCCTTTCCTATTTTCCAAAAATCTACTCTATTTAAGAAGACACAACTCTCTCTTCTCTCTCTCACTTCAAACTCAATCCAACGGTCGGAAACTAAAAATGGTTTCTCGCCGTTCCTTCCTTTTCTTCATCTTCTTCCTGGCTTCGCATTCTTCCGTTACTTCCAGAATCTTACCAGACATCTCCGTAACTACTTCATCGATTCTTGACGTCACCGACTCAATTCGCAAAACCAAAGATGCGTCGTCGTTTCAATTGAACAAGCAAGAAGACCAGAGTCTGACTCACTCGCCATCTTCTTCCTCTGCATTTACCTTGCAGCTACATTCACGAGCTTCCGTCAGAGGAGCAGAACACCACTCAGACTACAAATCTCTCACACTAGCAAGACTCGAACGAGACTCAGCCCGAGTCAAATCTCTCATGGCCCGTTTAGATCTAGCCATCAACAACATATCAAAATCAGATCTCAAGCCCATTTCCACAACGTACACAACACAACAAGACATCGAAGCTCCTTTAATCTCCGGCACCACTCAAGGAAGCGGCGAGTACTTCACACGCGTCGGAATCGGAAACCCGGCGCGTGAAGTCTACATGGTGCTCGACACCGGAAGCGACGTGAACTGGCTACAATGCGCTCCTTGCGCAGAGTGTTACCACCAAACAGAGCCAATCTTCGAGCCTTCGTCTTCTTCTTCTTACTCTCCTCTCTCTTGCGACACTCCTCAGTGCAAATCCCTCGAAGTCTCCGAATGCAGAAACGCCACGTGTCTCTACGAGGTTTCTTACGGCGACGGTTCTTACACCGTCGGCGATTTCGCTACCGAGACGCTCACGATCGGCTCCGCTTCCGTCGAAAACGTCGCCGTCGGGTGCGGACACAGCAACGAAGGTTTGTTCGTCGGCGCCGCCGGTTTGCTCGGACTCGGCGGCGGGTTACTCGCTCTGCCGTCGCAGCTCAACACGACGTCGTTCTCGTATTGCCTCGTGGACCGTGACTCGGACTCTGCTTCGACGGTCGAGTTCGGGTCGGGTCTCTCTCGCGACGCCGTTATGGCTCCGTTGCTGCGTAACCACCAGCTCGACACGTTTTACTACCTAGGACTCACCGGAATAAGCGTCGGCGGCGAGTTGCTTCAGATTCCGGCGTCTTCTTTCGAGATGGACGAGTCGGGAAGCGGAGGGATTATTATTGACTCGGGAACCGCCGTGACTCGTTTACAGACGGAAGTTTATAACTCGCTCAGGGACGCGTTTGTTAAGGGGACGACGGATTTGGAGAGAGCAGCCGGAGTTGCGATGTTCGACACGTGTTATAATCTGTCGGCTAAGACGACGATTGAGGTTCCCACGGTGGCTTTTCACTTCCCCGGCGGGAAGATGATGGCTTTGCCGGCGAAAAATTATATGATTCCGGTTGACTCGGTGGGGACGTTCTGTCTTGCGTTTGCGCCGACGGGGAGTTCGCTTGCGATCATCGGAAACGTCCAGCAGCAAGGGACACGTGTCGCTTTTGATCTTGCGAATTCCCTCATTGGATTCTCGTCAAACAAATGCTAAGCCGAATTTTTTAAAAAAATATTAGATTTTACTGTTGTTTTCTTTTCCTGTTCTTTGTTGCAGAGAGTAGTGAAAAAAGAAAATGGAAATTTGTCTTTTGTAATTGTAACAATGGACATTAAGTGGCCCAGTTGCAGGTTTTTTGGACCAGATTGTCCAAACTAGTGGTGTCCGAAGGAGTTCTTTTGTTATATACTGATTTAGTGAATCAAGTGATTAGCGCAAAAGATGTTTTTTTTTTAAGAGACCCAAAATATTATTTAGTTATAGGAAATTAGGTATGATAAGATCTCTTTACGCTATATCGGTATAACATCATTAACGGCAAATTGCATATTGATTGATTGGATGACGTAGTGAAGAACCATCATAATCCGTTTTTCTGCTTCAAAGAACTTAAATGTGTTAACCTCTATTGTCCATGGACTTATAGTCTCTTTCGTTGTCCTTCTTGAATACAGCTATATGCCTATATAAATAAATTTTTACTGCATGTAATGCTGATCCTAATAATTGACTACATAAATTCAAAGTATGCTAATACTAATAGTCGACTACACGTAATGGACACTTTCAAATTCATAGGTTGCTTCGTCGTTTAGCAAATGCATGGTTCTGACATTCCATTTCAGGTACCAATTGATAAGAGACCACCAAATGAAGGAAAACGTAGTAATTAACTTATGATTATTGAATACCATTTGGTTAAATATAAACAAATAAGAAAAGCAATGAGAAGAAATATCTAAAGTATCTGTACAAGTCCAATTAGTGTTAGCCACAATTTAAGAATAATCACATTTTTTCTCTCATTAAATACTCACGATGAAGCAACGACTAAAGATTCGTATTGATTACAGAAATTTTCTTGTGGCGATTGTTTTCCAGCATTGTTTATACTAAAGGCTCACGTGTTTAATTACTATTTAATGATGATGAATGATATTGATATGTCATTTTTTATGTTTTAGTGTTCGAAAACGTATACTCTTTCTTAGAACAAAAAACATTGTTCACTGTTGTTATCGCTATTTGTATTCATCAAAATGTTATGTTTCTAAAAATATTTATATTTTCGATTACGATGTGTTAAAGTAACTAATGCAAACCGTTATTAATCGAATTATATTAAGTTTTTAACGTTTTATGATTCTTAACAAACTTCATCGAGCTCAGCGTTTTTTACTGTGTCAATTATTTAGCTATGTCACTATTCAGTTCATATACTAATCATATTTTTTCCCCAAAAATATACTACTTTTTTTTTGTCAAGAAGTATAAAACAATTTCATCCGGTAGACTTCGATCTTAGCAGAACAATAACACGAATTTTACAGGATACTAGCTGTGAAAACAAAGAAAATCTGGGATACTTATCGAAGATGAAGTTGCACGAACTAAAATGTCAGGTTACACTTAATCTATGTTTAGTACTATTTCATGTATAAATGAACTCTAAATCATTCTAAAAAAAAACTCATTCTATTTAAATAATAATAGTAAAAAGTTAGAAGAACATGGCACATAGAGAGGTGGCGAAGACATGATGCCACCACTTGCCATCACAACAAATGAAGTGGCACCCATTCGGGTCAATCATTTTGTTTTCTTCCTTTTTCTCCTTTTTCATGTCAAACCTTTTTACTTTCTCCTTTGTTCATCCAAAAGACTCCTCTTTTACTTTCACAGTTGCATGCTCCACATAAAACTTACTCCATATATATAAAGAGCAAAAAACAAAAGCTAGAAATTCAATGCTTCTGAACAAACATGAGGAATATTTTTTTTGCATTTAAGTGTTACGTTTGTTCCAGTATTCAATAGATGATTTTGACTAGTCATTTTAAATACCTGAATATCTCTTTCATACACGACATTATAACATATGAAAAACATATACCAGACTGATTTTGAAGCGATGGCTTGGCCATGTATGTGAAATTATCATTTTTATTTACCCGGTTAAAAATTTGTAGGTATAAAGTTGGATACGTTTAAAAAACCCTACAAAGTCTATGACAATCTGTTATCATCCGGAAAGTGTAAACAGAAATATTGTAAGGAATGTTGCCAATGGGCTTCCAGATATAAGAGTTTAAAGATTTAATTTACAGCCAATTGATAGTTTGGGGGAAAACTATACGTAATTATCAGTGGCATTGTTACATTTTGCGAAATTTATAATATTATTATCCAGCAAAAAGATGTAATCTATGAACAGAAATAAAGAAATGAGCAAAAAAAGAAGGAAAAGAAACAATTTTGAGAAAGGAAATACACTAAAAGCGAATAGTTACGGAGGGAGAAACTGTGACCAGAAAACGACCACTCGAAAACTATTTTCGCTTCTTATCCAATTAAAAGCAAGAAGACGAAATACGAAGACGAAAGACGAAGACGAAGAAGAAGAACCTCTCTCTCTCTCTCTCTCTCTCTGGATTCATTAACTCCCTGACAAAACTTCATTTTCTCGCCGGCGACGTTCTCTTCACTCTGATCACTATTTGACTCATAAACCATTTTCTCAGTCCTTTTGCTTCACGTTTTCCTATTTCTCTTTCCCCTCACTTTGACTATTCTCCCTCCTGTCTCTCTCTCTCTGTGATATTTATTCGAAGATGCTTCCATGAAATTTGATTCCGGTCACTGAATCTTCGGGAATCTTCTCCTACTCCACGTCATGAGTGACTCCACCAACAGCGCCTCTCCTTCCTCCGATTACGCCTCTATCTCCTCCGGCGACCAGGTTTTCCATCCTCTCAAACTTTTCTGATATTCGATCTGGGGTTCTCTTTTTTTTTTTTTTTTTTTTTTGACAATTCAAGTTTCTCTTTTGATTGGATCCACTTGTACTCAGAAATATTAGCGTAGCAGTTGTCCAGGATTTGATAACTATTTCTGGGTTTTACTTTTCTTCACTCCATAAAGTCTTTGTTTTTTGCGAGTGAGATCTTAGCGAACTCACCTATGGATTGAATTGATTATATTTGATTCCCACATTTTAAGAGCAATTGGCTTTACTTCGCTTTTGTTACTTGAATCACGGGTCAGTCGCAAAATTACTCCTTTCTTAAAAATATAAATCTTGTCTTTTTTTCCTTTAGTTTGATCACTAAGTGTTTGCATTGTACTGCGTAGAAGATTCAGGGTCGTTGCTTATGTAAAAGAATAGACCACATTATGAATTAATTATATGTAACGAAGAGATTTGGTTAATTACATTGTGAATTTCTGATTCCCTCAAAAGTTTTGGCATCAACATCTCTGTTCTGAATCAGAGGTTCGTATTCTTCAGTGGCTATTAATGTTTAAAATACTTACATATGTAACAAAATGTGTCTTTTTTCATTTTGATTTGTAGTCTCTTCAGCGGAGTCGAAGGAGTGGAGATGGAAACCGAGCTGTTGTCCGTGAGTCCCGTCATTGGCATGATGTGTTCTGGTCAGCCATCTTTATGATCCACCTTGTATGTTTGGGATTTGTGCTGGCTGTGCTTGGACTCAATAGGTTTAGAACATCAGATAGGCTAAACATTGATAGATACACTCAAGGGTTCTTGGAGAATCATAAAGGCCTGACCGAGGACTACTGGCCACTCTATGCTGTTGCTGGTGGGATCGGAGTCTTCATCAGTTGGATCTGGTCATTGCTGCTCGGCTCCTACGCCAATGAGATGATGAAAGTTTCGGTTCACATCTTAACAACCTATTTAGCTGTAGTTAGTGTGCTGTGTTTCTGGTGCAGACAGTTCTTCTGGGGAGGAGCATTCGCCATTGGAGCTCTGTTGCAGTTCTTGTATGTTATTTCGGTCATAGACAGGTGCGTGCGAGGTTAAAATTTGATTGAACCGCTAGCACTTATCAGTTTCTGATGATTTTGAGTTGTTCATGTGTAGACTTCCTTTCACAATGCTGGTTCTGAGGAAAGCCCTGAAATTAGTTTGGGGACTTCCTAAGGTCATAATTGTGGCGCATGCTTTCACAGTAGTCATGCTTTTGTGGATGTCTCTATGGTCTTTTGGAGCAGCTGGTGTTGTGGCATCGAGCATGGGGGATGAAGGAAGATGGTGGCTTCTTGTGGTGAGCTGGCAAGTTTTTGCATTTTTTCCTTTAATGTTTCTGTTTTCTGCTCATTAGGGTCTGTAAGTAAACATGTTTAGATTTCATTCGAACATTTTGGAACACATATATGTATGCAGGTTCTTTCGGTTAGCTTGTTCTGGACAGGCGCTGTGCTGTGCAATACCGTCCATGTTATAGTTTCTGGGATGGTGTTTCATGTTCTCTTTCAATGTGGTCAAGAAGAGGCATCATCGTTGCCTCCTAGCACTTTGATAGAATCACTTAGGTACGCCGTGACAACATCTTTTGGGAGCATATGTTACGGGTCACTCTTCACTGCTGCCATTAGAACACTTCGTTGGGAGGTAGTCTCCAGATTCTTGGACTGCTTTTGAAAGACGTCATTGTTCTTCTAATTCTTAAAATCATTGCTCTTGTGTTTGCAGATACGGGGATTTCGTTCCAAGATTTGTGGAAACGAATGTCTACTTTGCTGCGTTGATTTCTTGTTTCATCTAGTTGAAACTCTAGTTCGGTTTTTTAACAAGTATGCCTATGTCCAGGTAAGACAGTAATAAAATCAACAATCTCGGTACTATGAGCAGTAAAGAATAAAAATGATATAAAAGACTTATGGTTAATTTTCAGATTGCAGTGTATGGAAAAGGATTCAACAGATCAGCGAGAGACGCATGGGAATTGTTTCAGTCAACAGGTGTAGAGGCACTTGTTGCATATGACTGTTCTGGTGCTGTGCTTCTGATGGGAACCATCTTTGGAGGACTCATCACAGGGTCTTGCATTGGTATATGGGCTTGGATCAAATACAGTGACAGGGTTATAATGGTTGGATCTACGGCTATGTTGATGGGAATGGTCCTTGTAAGTTTCCCTCTATGCACTCTTCCAAAAATTACATGAACCAAATTGTGCAATCTGTTTTTCATTGGTGCAATGTGTTTTTCTTTTTCTCAGGTGGGTCTAGGAATGGTGGTAGTGGAGAGCGCGGTGACATCAATATACATATGTTTTGCGGAAGATCCTTTGTTGATCCAAAGATGGGATGTTGATTTCTTCAATGAAATGTCTGAGGTGCTTCACCGTCGTCTCCAGCATCGTAGTGCTCGAGCCCGTGAAGTTTTGAC